GTAAACTGAGGCTTACTTCTAAGTCATGCCTAATTCCTCCCTCTGCTCAATTTTTCATATTCAGTCATCTTTCTTTGATTTGTCCTCCATACCCACCTCTCCATTATGTTTGCTTCCATTCTAGACTGACTATTGTAACTTGAACCTGATTTTCCTACTAACTCAATAGCTGGTATTTTGCCTCTCAACTCTGCACCTAACATAGTCCTATCACATTTATCTGACTAATACTAGTATACCACATACATTCAATATAGCATGACCAGATTTAAAAACAAAAACAAAAAAACTGCCCTGGCCAGTGTAGCTCAGTTGGTTGGAGTGTTGTCACACACACTGAAAAGTGGCAGGTTTGATTCCCAGTCGGGATGGGTTCAATCCCTGGTCGGGGCATATAAGGCAGAGGGGAGTCAATGTTTCTTTTTCACATTGATGCTTCTCTCTTTCTCTGCCTTCCTCTTTCTTAAATCCTAATTTAATTCAGTACACCAAAAAGTCACAGGTTCAATTCCTAGTCAAGGCATATACCCAGGTTGCAGGTTCTATCCCAAGTTGGGGTACATATGGAAAGCAGCTGATCGATGTTTCTCTTACAAAGTTTCCTTCTCCCTTCCCCTCTCCCTAAAATCAATAAAAATATTTAAAACAAACAAACATATCCTTGGGTGAGGATTAAAAAAAAAAAAAAACACAGCCGAAACCGGTTTGGCTCAGTGGTAGAGCGTTGGTCTGCAGACTGAAGGGTCCCAGGTTCGATTCCAGTCAAGGGCATGTGCGTTGGTTGCAGGCACATCCCCAGTAGGAGGTGTGCAGGAGGCAGCTGGTCGATGTTTCTCTCTCATCGATGTTTCTAGCTCTCCCTCTCCCGTCCTCTCTGTTTTAAAAAATCAATAAAATATATTTAAAAAGAAACAAAAAACAAAACCACAAAAACTTGTGATGTCATAGAGAATAAAATCTTAGTAATTCTTTGGGCAAACATTTTAAGTGTCCTCAATGTAGCACTACCCTACTGTAAAGATTAACAATTTTTTTCTATAAATATATTCTAGCCGAAGCCGGTTTGGCTCAGTGGTAGAGCGTCGGTCTGCAGACTGAGAGGTCCCTGGTTCGATTCCGGTCAGGGGCATGTACCTTGGTTGCAGGCACATCCCCAGTAGGGGGTGTGCAGGAGGCAGCTGGTCGATGTTTCTGTCTCGTTGACGTTTCTAGCTCTCTATCTCTCTCCCTTCCTCTCTGTAAAAATTCAATAAAATATATTTTAAAAAAGAAAGAAAGAAAGAAAGAAAGAAAGAAAGAAAGAAAGAAAGAAAGAAAGAAAGAAAGAAACGCCACACCTCTCTCATTAATACCCACAAGTGCCCAAAGATGAAACTGAGCAACTGAACTTCATTTTGATTCTGGGAACAGATAGGTACAGACTTCTGGCAGGTAAGAAAATAGATAAGCTAACCTTTGTGGGGACCTTCATCACTCTATTCATTCAATGAATGCCTTCTATGGGTCAGGGACTATGCTAGGTGCCTGCTGGGGACATAAAGATGAAGGACATAGTCCCTCTCAATCAAGGAGGAAAAAACACCTTTGCTCAAGTGGTATGATAAACATTCTAATGGAAGTATATAGGGGCGGGGGTAACACAGGGATCAAAGTAACCATTGTGTCTGGCCCAGAAATGAAGCAAAGCTCATCCAGGTAGTGAGAGGAGCTGAACATTACAAGTGTGCTCTGAAGCCAGAGTGGCTCCTTTCCATACACACTCCTGTTTATTTGTTTGTTTTGTTTAAAAACAAGTCTTGTGCTTCCTAGAATAAATGTAAAATCATGACAGGTTGGTGGGGTTAAAAAATGAAGGCTTTGGTTCACAGACCATTGACAATAGAGAACTGCCCTTTCTAATGAGCCTGAATCAGAGGCGGGGTGAGAATGGGGGTTAGAGGAAAACATGGGAGAGTGGTTTATTGCTGTTCACACACAAAAAAAGCAATAAAATACTTTGCTCTGAGCTGCATAAGGGTCATAATGGTATGATAAGCTATCATTTAAGATGAGGAGGAAATTGAAGTTTCATTTCCTTGCTTTTGTGGCACCCCTTGAATTGGGTTGATGACACTATTCAGTCAGTCAGCATGAGGCCTGCCTTACCAATTTTGTTTTGCAAAACAAAGCCAGTCACGGTCAAACTCAGTTGGTCAATTCCATAGATTAACAGGAGAGCAAGACAGCTGGGATAGCTCTGGCTGGGAATGATGGGGTTAATCCTAGGCCAGCTTGGCAGGGAGTTTCATAAGATTTTTGGGGCCCCTGGCAGCCTGATTTCTTTAGACCCAGAGTATGGTGTGATAGAAAAATCTGGCCAGAATCTATAGAAACACAAACTTGAAAGAACAGATTTTCTTTAGAAAATAACAATAATACAAAATTTCCCTTAAATCCTGGTCTCCAATATACCTGCACAATTCACAAACTAAAGAAAACAGTGAGGATGAAAATAATGTTAAAGTTCTACTGAATAACTCAGCCAGTATGGCTCAGTGGCTGAACACTGACCCATGCCCACGCACCAAGAAGTCACTGGTTGGATTCCTGGTCAAAGCACATGACAGGGTTGTGGGCTTGGTCCCCAGTGAGGTATGCAGGAGGCAACTGATCAATGTTGATGTTTCTCTCTCAATGTTTCTATCTCCCTCTCCCTTTCTAACATAAAAAAAAAAAACATTTAAAAACACACACACACACACAACACAAAATTCTACCGAATAGCCAGGCATTTTCTGTTGCCTCTGTAGCTAGACATTAGAAAATAATTATTGATTCTCTTAGAGCAGTGTTTCCCAAAATGTGGTACGTGTACCCCCAGGGGTACGGGAAGAGTTTGGTAGGGGTACGCACTGCACCGTGCTTAGCTGCGCCTAATTCTATGTTCTCTTGAGTACGAGGGGTACTCAGTGTTACGAAAATTATAGAAGGGGTACACATATGTCGAAAGTTTGGGAAACACTGTCTTAGAGGATGATACAAGCCATTCTGTTTCCTCTCCATGTCCAGAAGTTTCTGGAAAATTGAGGCCACTTTAGAATAGATCAGTCTGGAGCTTTTCACAGTTCCCATTAGCTAAGAAAATTTTATTTTTCTGTCTTTCTGAATTCTTATGCTTCTTTTTTTTTTTTTTTTTTAAATACTTTTATTGATTTCAGAGAGGAAGGGAGAGAGAGAGAGATAGAAACATTAATGATGAGGGAGAATCATTGATTGGCGCTTCTGCATGCACCCTACTGGGGATCAATCCCACAACTGGGGCATGTGCCCTGCCTGAGAATATAATTGTAACCTCCTGGTTCAGAGGTCACCACTTAATGACTGTGCCACACAGGCTGGACTGAATTCTTATGTTTCTGATGAAAAACCAATTCTGCAATTAACACATAAGGACTATCAGAGAGCCAAGGAAATCTGCACATGCAATGAAGTTGCCTGAACAATAATGAGGTTCATGTTCCAAAAGGAGATTAAGTTAAGGTTTACTTTAGTTCCCTAAGGTTGTTTTATATTTTCCCTAAAGATTCCTGCATCTCCTGTGACTATTGATCCAATTTAAGTTTCAGGTAATCAAAGCAATTCAGTTTTGTGGGGAAAGTGATGGTGATTTTATCACAGATTTTGTTATAATGCCATCCAATTTACTTTCTGAGCTTCAATCTCTCTATTGTTTAAAAAAATTGATTGGATTAGATTGTTTTGATACCGTTATAATAACTTGGTTAGTATTTAACAAGAAAGGAGTAAAAGGAAGACTAGATAATATAGGCATGCCATTTATACAACGTTGCAAATTTAACACTCTCTAAGTCTGTTCCCCATTGATCAATGGGGAAAGGGACTGGACAAAGGCAGTTTGGACACATACACAGTAAGGTCTGAGTAACATGGGAAGGTGCTTTACTTGTCAATCACACCTGGGAACAGGTAATTGGCTAGAAAAGGCATGGCCACTGCAAGGGCAAGAAACCTGAATATTTAAACTTTTGAACAAAAGGAGTTCACCTCTGTCCTGTCTTCCTGCTTGCCTGCACTCCTGTGATTCCTGTTGCAGGGGCATACACCCCTGTACCCATGTGGGACCCACACAAAGGAGTGATGGTATTTAATTAACAATGCTGAACTGGATCCAACTGCAACATGGAACGGAAGCTCTGGACACTGGCCCTCCTTTTGACTCTATTGGAAACCCAGTTGCACCTTTTTCAAGACTGGGTTAAGGAACATGGGACTTTACAACCCAAGGAATATAACTCCACATCAATAAAAACCATTCCGGGGAAACTAAGATGGTAGCATAGATAAACACTTGAACTTGCTGCCTCACACAACCACTTCCAAACTACAACTAAAAGACAAAATGGACATTATCCAGAACCACAGGAAGGCTGGCTGAGTGGAAATTCTACAACTAGAAGGAAAGAGAAAAGCACACTGAGACTCACAGGAGCTGTGAAAGTAAAGTGAGAGGTACTGAGGCGCATGCATGGAGAGGGTTGACAACTGAATATGCACCCAGCTTTTTCAAGTGGGAGGGAGACACAAGCTCCCGATTGCTCTGAACTCCAGTTCTGGGTGAGACTCTGGAGTCCCAGACTCATACAGGGAGAAACTGGACTGTCAGGCAGCAGGCAGAACCCAAGGGCAGCTTTCTCTTAGAGGTGCTTGCAGCAATTACTGAGGGGCACTGAGACCCGGGGGCCTCTTAGGACAGGGCTAATGGGGAAGCCATTGCTGTTTGCTCCACCCCAAAACCCCGCCCCACTCAAGCAGTACACAGAGGCTTTTGCATATGAATGGCCTGGTCCTTTGAATTCTAAACTTACCTAACAAACTGCAGCTGAGTTACAGAGACCCAGAACATCCAAAAGAAGAGTCAAGGCCCCACAGCAGCCTGCATTGCTTCACAGCTGGGCCTCATCAGGGCACCTCCAAAACCCAAACAAAGAAGAGGAATCTGCAGATCTCTCCATAACTTCTGCTGGGTGGCCTCAGGCAGAGGTAAAATTAACACTTCCTTAGAGATCCAAGAGCCAGTGTACCCAGTGGTCAGAGTGTGACCTCCAGATTACAACTCCTCAGATTCATAAGGGACACACTTAGGGGGCAGAATCAGTGAGCAGCAAAGCCCCACTGAAGCAAGTCTTGTCTCATAAGGGTGTCTCCAGCACAGAAGTTCTCCCATCATAGACACAGCTGATCCACACAGCCTGGAGGTCAATTCCTCCCAGTGATACCAACAACAATCAAGGCTTAACTACAATAAGACTGTGCACACAGCCCTCAAAGGGGTGCACCAAGAGTGTTCACCTCAAGTAATTAGAGAGGCTGAACCACTGGGCCCTATAGGACACCTAGCACACAAAGCCACTCTCAACACAGGGAAGCAGCCAAAATGTAGAGACAAAGAAACAGGTCACGGAAGAAATGGAGGAAAGCAAACTACTGGATATAGAGTTCAAAACCATGGTTATAAGGTTTTACGACAATTTTCTAGAAAAGGCTGATAAATTTAGCGAGACCCTCGAGGATATGAGAAAGGACCAATCAGAAATTAAGCATACACTGACTGAAATAAAAAATAATATACAGAGATCCAACAGCAGACTAGAGGATCACAAGAATCAAGTTAAATATTTGAAATACAAAGAAGCAAAAAACACCCAACTGGAAAAGCAAAAAAAAAAAAAAAAAAAAAAAAAAAAAGAATCCAAAAATATGAAGATAGTGTAAGAAGCCTCTGGGACAATTTCAAGTGTGCCAACATCTGAATTATGGGGGTGCCAGAAGAAGAAAGAGAGCAAGATACTGAAAACCTATTTGAAGAAATAATGACAGAAAACTTCCCCCACCTGGTGAAAGAAACAGACTTATAAGTCCAGGAAGCTTAGAAAACCCAAACAAAAGGAATCCAATGAGAACCACACCAAAATACATCATAATTAAAATGCCAAGAGCAAAAGACAGAGAATATTAAAAGCACCAAAAGAAAAACAATTACCTACAAGGGAGCACCCATACAATTGTCAGCTGATTTCTCAACAGATACTATGCAGGCCAGACGGGAGTGGTAAGAAATATTCAAAGTGATGAATAGCAAGAAACTATAACCAATATTACTCTACCCAGCAAAGCTATCATTCAGAATTGAAGGTCTATAAAGAGCTTCACAGATAAGAAAAGCTAAACCAGTTCATCACCCTCAAACCAGTTATTATATGAAATACTGAAAAGTATTCTTTAAGAAGAGGAAGAAGAAAATGGTAAGAAAAAAAATTATGAACAAATACAGATCTATCAACAAGTGAATTTAAAAATCAAGTGAATAAAAAAATGTGATGAACAGAATAAACTGGTGAATATAATAGAATCAGGGGCATAGAAAGGGAATGGACTGACAATTCTCAGGGGGAAAGGAGTGTGGGGGTGTGGGAAGAGACTGGAAAAAATTGTATACTGATGGATGAGGACAGTGGGGGGTAAGGGCAGAGAGTGGGGTGGGAACTGGGTGGAGGGGAACTATGAGGGATAAAAAGAGGAACAACTGTAATAATCTGAACAATAAGATTAAAAAAAACTAAAAAAAACAACAACATTCATTCTCCTGTGGGAATCTTAGAAACTTCATTTTTCTAAAGATATTTTAAGAACCCCACGCCCATGAACAATGGAGAAGTTTGATGCTCTGATAGCAGTATTATATATTTACAACTTCTTTAAAATTCTATTCTGAGCCTCTATGTTTCTCTATCCTGACAGTTCTGGTCTTCAAAGATGCCCATGATAATTGCCATAAAGAATAAATTAGAAGTATTTTTGGTTTCTAGAAATGTATAGCCTGTAAAATAGCAATAGTCCGATGTTCCTCATGTATATATAGTCTTACTATTAGGTTTCACTAATTTGAACTTTATGCTGAAAGAAGCTTATTTGTATATTATATTTTTAAAGGGTTTACTATTGTATTAACAAACTAGAGGCCTGATGCATGAAAATTCATGCACTGGGGGGAGTCCCTCAGCCCAGCCTGTTCCCTCTCACAGTCTGAGAGCCCTCAGGGGTGGGAGGCAAACTGGCAATCAGGGGAAGGCAATACCCCATCACACCTCTGCTGCTCCCACTGCCAGCAGCACAAGCCTCGGCCGGCCCTGGTTACCTGAGCCTCGAGCTACCCTGGTCGGCTAGGGGGCTGAGGGGGTTGGGGGACTCCGGAGGCAGATGCACAGAGCAGCCACATACCTGCCACCCCGGCAGGCTAAGGGGACAGGGTACCGCCATCTTGTGGCTGTGGGCGCCACCATCTTTGCGATGGCATGAGGGTCAATTAGCATATTCCCTCTTTATTAGATAGGATAAGACTGCAGTTTGAGGTTTTAACTACTTCTCAAGGGGCTAGTGGCAATAGTGAGTAGCATTCTGGATGTGACCCAGCCATTAGATTGATGTGTAACCTTGGGCAGGTCTCAGCTAGCCTGAGCCTCATTTTGTCCAAGTATAAATAAAGGGGTTGAATTAAGTGGTTTAAAATTAATTGGTAAAGCCTTTTTTTTTTTTTTTTTTTTTTTTTTAAGCACTTGGGCAAATACAAGTAGTGGTTAAGAATAATTAAAGGCATTAATACCTTTAATAATATGGAGAATGAAAGAGATTTGGAGGAAGGGAACCTGTGATTATTAGCAACAGAAAACAATAGCGTAAACTGAGTAAAGCTCCAAGTTTCATTCCCTTAATTTATACTCAATAAATCCATGAAGTAAATAAACTTGATTTGTACACAACATTTAGTTGGCCCTATGAGGAAAATGATAAGTTTCTCAAGTCTGCGAAAAAGCACCATAAAACAATGGAAAGGCTTTAGAGCCAAATATAATTAGTTCAAAACCCTGATGCTAGCCCTGGCTGTTGTGTTCAGTGGTTAGAGTGTTGCAGGTTTGATCCCTGGCCCTAGTTCAGGGTGCATGCAGGAGACCAATCAATGTGTCTTTCTAACATCAATGTTTCTCTCTCTCTCCCTCCCTCCCTTCTACTCTCCGTAAAAAAAAGCAAGGGAAAAAATATCAATTTTTTTTAACAAAACAAAACAAAACAAAAAACCCTGCTCTAATAATTCCTAGATATAACCTTAAGATTGTTAAGATTGTTTTGACAATTAAGTAAGATAACAGGTGAAAATGCTGTTTCCAAAGACCATTTCACCATATTGTCTACTACATTCTGTTAAAGAAGTATGCTATTAAGTGCCAAAGAAGTCAGAAATTAAGCAAGAAGTCATAGCCGATTTGGCTCAGAGGATGGAGCATCGGTCTATGGACTGAAGGGTCTCAGGTTTGATTCTGGTCAAGGGCACATGACCGGGTTGTGGACTCATCCCCAGTAGGGGGCATGCAGGAGGCAGCTGATCCATGATTCTCTCTCATCATGGATATTTCTGTCCCTTTCTCCCTCTCCCTTCTTCTCTGAAATCAATAAAAATATTTTTAAATATTTTTAAAAGAAATTAACAAATATGTGATACCTTAATCAATAAAGTAATTAAAAAAAGAAATTAAGCATGAGGAGTTCATAGGCACAAGAAATAGACATCTAGTAGAGCAAAAATACAAAAAGTTTTCTAGGTTAGGGATAGTACAAGCACCAAAGAGTAGGAAAGTCTTCCGGTGTCTGTGCTGTGGGAAGAAGGGGTAAGGGAAGGGAGTGTACAGAGGTAGAAATGACTAAGGCGAACATGGATCACTCTAGCTACAGCAGTATCCATAAAAGCAGGTTCTGGGGAGGTAATTTTGGAAAGATAAGCACTGGCCAGTCAGTCTGTGGGAGCCCTGAAAGCCAGGCTAAAAATATAAAATATTTTTTTCACCATATTAGGTATACACTAGATACTCAGTAAGTATTTGTCACAAAGTAGAGAGAATTAACTTCAAACCTAGCTACCAAATGGAAGTAGGAAACCTGTTTTCGATATGGGCATTGTACTTTCAATTCAAGTTCTCTGGCTAATCAGAACAGGAAGAAAGCACGATAGCATACTATTTTTAACTCCTTTACTCTGCAATGTGCTCTATAATTTCAAAATGTTTATAGCAGATTATGTGGAGGTCAGGAATACCAAATTCACCTGAAACTATTATAATATTGTGTGTCAACTATACTTAATTAAAAATTGAATTAGTACAGTTTATCCTATGTAATAAAAGGCTAATATGCAAATCGATTAAACAGCAGAATGACAAGTCGCTATGATGTGCACTGACCATCAGGAGGCAGATGCTCAATGCAGGAGCTGTCCCCTGGTGGTCAATGCGCTCCCACAGGAGGAGCACTGCTCAGCCAGAAGCTGGGCTCACTGCCAATGAGCACAGCAGCAGCGGTGGCAGGAGCCTCTCCCGCCTCTGCATCAGCTGGACATCCTCCAAGGGCTCCTGGATTGCAAGAGGGAGCAGGCTGGGCTGAGGAACAGCCCCCCCCCCCCCCCCCCCGCCGCCGCCCCCACCGAGTTCACAAATTTCATGCACTGGGCCCCTATTGATTAATAAATGCAAACGGAAATATAATGGTCTTAGAAAAAAAGATAAAGGGAAATGATCAAGAAGAGGGCAGTAAAAAAGATGAAGAGACTTTCAAAATAATAGAGCTGTAAAGAGGAAGAAAAGCATTATGAAAAGATGCAATGGCATGGAATCCAGTTAAAAGGCCAGCTCAGATGGCCTAGGAGAGCCCAGGATCAAGCCTCAGAAACAGGTAACTATCTCTGGAGCCAAGAGAGGGCAGGTGGGGGCACCCTGACTCTTAGAAAGATTAAAAAAAGGGGGGGGGGAATCCTACGTACAATGATGTGGCCAGATTGGGGCTTACTATAATAGCAACAGAAAGAGGGAAATAACAATGTGATTTCACCAATAGGATGATGCCCTAACAATATTACATTTTTACTTAATGTAGTATATTGTTTCTCACTACAAAGATCAGAGTGATTTCAAATCTTACATTTCCTCAAACATCCCTGAGAGGCAGCAATGAACTCAAAATGGTTGGCCATTTTTAAAAAATATATTTTTATTGATTTCAGAAAGAAAAGGAGAAGGGGAGAGAGATAGAAACATCAATAATGAAAGAGAATCATTGATTGGTTGCCTCATGTAAGCCCCACACTGGGGATTGAGCCCACAATCCAGACATGTGCCCTTGACTGAAATCAAACCTGGGACCCTTCAGTCCACAGTCCAACACTCTATCCACTGAGCCAAACCAGCTAGGTCTGGTTGGCCATTTATGTGTTGAACCTGTATCTCTGAAAGGTTCAAACAAGTTAAATTAGACTAGAACTTGAGAGTCCAATTAAATATATTTTACTTCAATGGAATTTTGAAAGAATATAGCTTTAAAGTAAAAATTTTCATGTGGGATGTTTAGTCAATAGCCAGTCATCAGAGGGCTAGAAGTTTGGCATGACCAATTCTTCACAGTCCATTTGCTAAGAGACACATCCTAAAAACAAGCACCACTAAAAAGGACGTCCTTGTTTCCAAAGCTTTAACCTCATTGTAGGCTGATTGTTTTATATAGGTCCTTGTCTAACCATTTTATGGGGCAAGAGGCTCTAAACCACATATATATGTTAAAGACTCCTTGAAATGTTCTCACATTGGCCAGGACCAGAAACACTAGGTAAAGTCTAAAGAGGTTGTCATTCTAGCCCCAACATAAAGGCCACCCAGAAGGATCAGGATCTTACAATCCTGATTAAGATTTATTAGCCCTTGAGATGCTTATTCTTATACAATAGCTTAACTCTCTCCAACCCACAATTTAAATAAAAATTGTGCCAGATCCTAGTCGAAGAGTTGAGAGTGCTAATTAAGTAAGCTCAGTAGATCTGCTCCAAAATAAAAGAGTTGAACATTGAAAGAGATCCACATTAACGATAAACAGTTTGAAGAAGGATTTAGAAATTGTAGTTTAGGTCGACATATTATTAGTAATTTGTGTCTTTCAAGTGCTTTGTCTAATCAAATTTGTCAAAGATATCCACATAAAGTTGTTCATAATATTCCCTTATTGTGCTTTTAATATCTGTAAGGTTTGTAATGATTTGACAACATTGGGTTGAATGAGCAGAATTGATTTGAGGGGATGAGAAGGGAGTGGGGAATTGGAGGCTTTGATAGATCATATGCAACCGTATTTTCCAAGGAGCACTCCCCACATCTAGCCAAGAAATGCAGATGAGGCAAGTAAAAACAAAGGTGTGGGGGGAGTTTATGATTCTAGTGATGAGGTTGTTGGTCTGATTAGCTGCCCATTTGTCTGCAAGCTGCTTTCTCCTCCCATTCCGTGCTCCCTGTCATCACAATGCAGCCTGCTGTCCAGGAAGCCTGAGGAAGGGGCTCCCTCTGGAGCTGATGGCAGTGGCACTTCGGGAAGTGCTGGCAGGGGGTGGGCTATAAAAAAACAATTTGGCCTAGGAACAAAAGACATCAATCACAGCAGTGTCACCAACTCTATTTGGATGAGGGAGAGTACTTTCTGGCCAGAGAAGTAGGAAAGGAACAGACAACATAATTTTACTTAGTCATTTCCTCTTTCTAAAGGACTAAAAAGTCTACTTAATTTAATAGGAAAGCTATACCACGACTACTCCACAAAGGTCTTTTTCTTTAATCATGTCCTTTGGTGAGTTGAGAGAAAGCTATCTCATTTGCAGCCTCTTATGTGAAATTGCCAGAAATCACTAGACCCTAACTTTAGTAAACTTCTCTGTAAGCTTGGGAGTTTCTGAGATTTAATTAACTTTTGGAAAGTAATTATGGATCTCAAATGAAAGGTGCAAAATTAGTATAAGGAATGTTATCAGTGAAAGGACTAACAAAAATAACCAAAGAGAAGTACCTGAGGTCACAGAAATAGCAAAGAAGAATAGAGCCATCCCTGAATCAAAAATCAAAGCATAATCGAAATAGTTCTTATAGTTAACTGCATAAGAGAAATTACAATATTTCTGAGCTGGGAAAGTACTTCTCAAAAGTATCTGTGACTTTCAAATCAAGCTAATGCTTAAACCAGGGCAGATAGGCTATTGCCCGAGGTTCTTTTTTTCAAGTATGATTCTACTCTTCAAACCCCCCAAACAGAAGCTGAGGCAGGTATGCCCAGGTTAGACATATTCCTTATTTCTTGGCTAAGTATAAGACTGGCAAGAAGCCTGGGAAGAGGGGGGCTTCACCTCAGATCTAAACTTCTAAAGAAGTAAAGAAAAATCTAAACTTCTGCTGTAGAGAGCTTCATATATTATATATCTAATATACCTCAAATTAGCCTTCTCTATTTTTCCTCCCTAAAAAATAAATAAATAAAACAGTCACAAATGGCAGAGATAACTTTCAGTATGAGATTTTTCTGCTATATACAATGCTACTTTTTTTTTCCCCCCACGAGAGGGGGCTATTGTGGCGAAAATGATCTCTTGAAGCTGTCGCATAGAAATCCCATTAAAAAAAACTATTTGCTTTATCCTATATGTTCTTGGCCATTGCTCAAAATATGGCAATCTTTTAAGATTTTAGTGTTATATTAAAGAAGAAAAAGTTAGTACTTTCCAACAAGCATGGCCCTCAGGCCTGACAACATACATACTGTTAAGGAATTGAACTCTTGATAGCTGACCATGGTCTTTTGGAAATTAAGATTTCATAGATCTTCTCAAATCTAGCTTTTGGTTTTATGGATTTTCTCTATTACTTATATGTTCTCATTTTTGTCTTCATTGCTTCCTTCTTTTGTGCTTGCTTTGGGTTTGATTTTCTCTTCTTTTTTCTAGTTAATTAAAGTGGAAGCTTAAAACATTAAAAATGATTTTAGTTTGTCTTTCCATTATTGATATTTCTTTTTCTTTGTTTAAAACATATTTAAAAATATATATATATTATTGATTTTTTTTATTTTTATTTTTTTTTTTTTAACAGAGAGGAAGGGAGAGGGATAGAGAGTTAGAAATATCAATCAACTGCCTCCTGCACACTCCCTACTAGGGATCAACCGAGCATGTGCCCTGACCAGGAATGGAACCAAGATCTCCTGGTTCCTGATCAACACTCAACCACTGAGCAACACCAACTGAACAAGGATTGTTTCTTAAAAAAACATATTTCTATTGATTTTTAGATATTTTTATTGATTTTTTTAGAGAGAAAGGAACGGGGGTGGGGGGAGAAAGAAACATTGATGAGAGAGGAAACATTGATCAGCTGCCTCTTGCACACCCCATACTTGGGATCAAGATGAAAACCCATACATATGCCTTGACAGGGACTCAGAATGGGAGTCAAACCCATGACCCCTGATGCCTGAGACGAAGCTTATCTACTGAGATGCACCAGGCAGCCAGTTGGGTGATTTAAACGATTTATCTTCTGATTAGGGAGGAGTGTAAACCTCTTACTCTTTAAAAAATAAAATCTTTATTGTTGAAAGTATTGCATATGTAGCCGTTTCCCCACAATTGCCCCTTTCTAGTCTACCCCTGTCCCTACTCCAGGCCTTCACCACCCTATTGTATGTGTCCATGGGTTATGCATATATGCATATAAGCTCTTTGGTTGATCTCTTCCCACCCACCCACCCCAACCTTCCCTCTAAGATTTCACGTTTACTCTTAAGTATCTTTGGTTAAGCAAGATAGGATCTTGCAATTTAGTAGATGGCTATAAAACACTTGTGTTTAATTTAACTATCTTAGTTTCCCTATTTCACTGCCTTTGGCTTACTAACCTGTCTCATTACCAAGTCTTATGTGGTATCTTCTTTAATTCCCTAGTTGTAGAACTTCCATTCAGCCAGATTTCTGAATGATGGTTGTTCTGAATGATGGTTGTTTTATATTTTAGTTCTAATTTTGATGTGGTTGTGGAAGGAGGTGATGATCATGTTTACCTATGCTACCATCTCGATCAAAAGCCTCTTTTGTTTTTTGAAGCTTCTTTAGTTCTTTTAAAGCTAGAACAGTTCCTCTCGATTTCAACTTTTTGAAAAGATGAGGCCAGTTTAAGTATGTAGTCTTAATAAAAGTATTTCACAACCTGGATTTATTTAAAAAGTAAATTATAATTTATTTAATAAATATAATTTCAGAGGAGGATCCAAGATGGCTGCTCGGGTAGACATCTAACCGCAGCAGCACACAACAATTTCAATGGAATACAACTAAAATGTAGAGTGGACATTGCCCAGAGCTACAGGTAGTTGACTGACTGAAAACTCTACAATAGGAAGGAGGGAGAAAACCAGAAGGAAAATCAGAGGAGCTGAAAAATCCTAAGGTACGGAGACATGCTGCGCGCCCGCACACACGCGCGGAGAGGTCGCAGCCGGAGAGGAGGAGAGGGCTGGGTGCTGCCTGGCGTTCCCTAGCAGGAAGGAAATAGAACCCCCAGCCTGGGCTGAACCCCCGAACCAGCAGCGCTGAGCCCCAGTTATGAGCCAGACCCTGGGGACCCAGGCTCCAGCAGGGGGAGACGGGGCTGTGAGGCGGAATCCCGGGGGAACAGCGAAAGGTGGGGCCCCCGGAGTCGCGTGCACATTGCGCGCAGAGGACTGAATGTTGACTCTGATGCTGGATTACCCTAGCGGGAAGAAACAAAGCCTCCGGCGGCGCTGAGCCTCAGTCCGGACCACCCCGAACTCCAGGTCTGGGCCAGTCCCTGGGGACCCAAGCTCAAGCAGAGGGAGACGGGGCTGTGAGGTGTAGTCCTGGGAGAGCGGCGAAAGGCCGAGCCCCCGGAGTCGCGCACACTGCGCGCAGAGGACAGTCTGTTGACTCTGATCCTGGACTCTCCTAGCAGGAGGGAGAAAGAAAGCTCCAGACTGGAGGAACACGACAGGGAGCAGGAGCCCCTGCCGGACACCGGCCAGCCGGGCACCAGCAGGGAGTCGGGCGACGGGGCCCCTGGGGGGAGGAGGGTGACCCTGAGCCTTCGACCACTGAGCGCAGGCAACGGAGCCAAGGCCGGGGGCTGCTTCCTGGGCGGCGCCAACCCCAGCAACAGGCTGAAGCAGTGCAGGAGCCCGCGAAGAACAAAGGGGTGCCACAGGCCAACCTGCTGAGCTCCCAGGACAAGGAGGAAGAAACCAAAGAAGTTCTCAATGTGAAGAAATCAAGTGAGAGCAAAAGATAGTAAAATTACTTAAGAAAGAATACAAAGAAGATCTTGAAAAATCAAAGACTAAGTCAGAACTCAACTCACCAGCCAACATTGCAACATAAATGCGTTTTTAAAAAAAAAAGAAAGAAAAGAAAAAGGGACAGAATGTTGGAACAGCGGCGATCAGGCCTAGAGTGGCCAGGCACAAGGCAATGGCAGCCGGGCCCAGAGCAGCAGCGGCCAGGCCCCAGAGCAGCAGCAGCCAGAACCAGAGCATCAATGGCCAGCACTAGAGCAGCCAGACCTGGGGCAGTGGCAGCCAGGCCTGAGGCGGAGGCGGCCAAGCCCAGGATGGCCAATCCAGGAAAACCCAGAACCGGAGTGGCTGGGCCCGGAGAAGCCGGGCCCAGAGCAGCCGGGTTGGGAACAGCCAGGCCCAGAACAGCAGTAGCCAAGCCCAAAGCATCCAGGCCGGGAGCGGCCAGGCTCGGAGCGGCCGGGCCCGGGACAGCCAGGCCCAGAGCAGCCGGGTCGGGTGCGGCCAGGCCTGGAGCAGCAGCTGCCAGGCTGGGAGCGGCCAGGCCCAGAGCAGCCGGATCTGGTGCGGCCAGGCTCAGAGCAGCAGCTGCCAGGCTGGGAGCGGCCAGGCCCGGAGCAGCGGCTGCCAGGCTGGGAGCGGCCAGGCCCGGAGCGGCTGGGCCCGGAGCAACCGGGCCCGGAGCAACCGGGCCCAGAGCAGCCGGGTCGGGTGCGGACAGGCCTGGAGCAGCAACAGCCAAGTCCAGAGCAACTAGGTTGGGAGCGGCAGTGACCAGACCCGGAGCAGCTGGTTGTGGAACGAACCAGAGCAACAGAGGCCAGGCCCGGAGCAGCCAGGCCCGAAACAGCTCACTCCTCGCCTGCCCCTGCCCCACGGCTGCCTCTCAGACATGGCTGGAAACTTTTGTGGGAACTTGAGGGTCTGCTAAATCAAGTGATGAAGGCTTAGATCTGGATGTGCTGAGTTAGTATAGTGCTGGGGTGTTTATCTGTGAGTGCCTTGGGTGGGGCCTGGATGAGGCTGGTTGACCTATCTGGAAATGTCTTTTGTGTCAAGTGTATCATTGGGCATGTGGAGGTATTATTGATATGAGAAAATGCTAAGTAACAGATTTACTATCTGAAAAGAGATTTACTATCGGGGAAAGGGAGGGAGGAAGAGACTGAACATAAACTGTGCACCTATGGATAAGGACAATGGGGAATGGGGAGGGGGCGGAGGGTGGGGTGGGAATCTGGTGGAGGGGGGAAGAAATGAGGAACCTTTGTAATAATATGAACAATAAAGATTGATTAAAAAAATAATAATAATAAAATAAATAAATAATTTCACCACATTAAAATAAAAACTAGTACCTTATCATACTGGTAGCCCAGTTGTAGCCCAGTTGCTTGAGCATTGTCCCATGCACCATGAGATTCCTGGTCAGGGTACATGCCTACGTTGTACCATTTCGGAGCGTGCAAGAAGCAGCTGATTGATATTTCTCTCTCTCATTAACACCTTTCTCTCTCTCTCTCTCTCTCTCTCTCTCTCTCTCTCTCTCTCTCTCTCTCCAATAAAAACATAATAAACAACCAAATAAACTAGTACCTCATCACAAAAACATAATTGGGAAACACTAATCTAAGGACTATTTGATAGGTTGACCAATCATTCCATGTTGCCCTGAACTGAGAGGGCTCTCCCGATGTAGGACTTTCAGTGATACAACCAGGATCAAGAATCAATGTCTAGCTGAAACCGGATAGCTCTATCAGTGGATAGAGCATCAGTCTTCAACTCAAGGGTCCTGGGTTCAATTCCAGTCAGGGGCATGTACCTTGGTTGCAGGCACATCCCCAGTAGGGGGTGTGCAGGAGGGAGCTGATCTATGTTTCTCTCTCAATGATGTTTCTAACTCTCTATCCCGCTCCCTTCCTCTCTGTAAAATAAATAAATAAACAAACAAACAAATAAATAAATTATATATATATATATAAAATTTTATTTTTATTTTTTTTAAAGAATCAATGACTGGTCACCCTTGGAGAGCTCTGATTAATGTCCAGGAAATAGTTATATAAATGACTAGAGGCCCAGTGCATGAAATTCATGCATGGAGCGGGGTTTCCCTCAACTCATCTTGCACCCTTTCCAATTGGGGACTCCTTGCAGGATGTCTGACTGCCATTTTAGGCCTGGTCCCAGGGATTGGGCCTAAACTGGCAAGACATCCCTCTCACTATCTGGGATCACTGGCTTCTAACTGCATATCTGCCTGCCTGCCTGCCTGCCTGATTGCCCCTAACTGCTTCTGCCAGATACTCAGTTGCCAGCCCTCTCCGGGCACGCCTCGGTAACCTCTGCCTTCTGCAGCTCCTGTGAGTCTCAGTGTGCTTTTCTCTTTCTTTCTAGTTGTAGAATTTCCACTCAGCCAGCCTTTCTGTAGTTCTGGATGATGTCCGTTTTTTCTTTAGTTGTAGTTTTGGAATTGTTGTGTGAGGCAGCAGTTTAGGTGTTTACCTGTGCTGCCATCTTGGTTTCCCTGGTTTCAATTCTTGGTCTGGCACATGCCTGGGTTGCAGACTCGATCCCCAGTAGGGAGCATACAGGAGGCAGCCAATCAATTATTTTCTCTCATCATTGATGTTTCTATCTTTCCCTCTCCCTTCCTCTATGAAATCAATACAAATATATTTTAAAAAATCATACCCTTTTTACCTTAGATAATATCTGCGGCACAAAACACAACTATTCTTTTAAAAAATATTTTTTAAAAATAGTTTAAAAAACACACAAATAATTTATTCACATGTACTACTTAAACCCTTAAGAGCTATGGTTGGATTTTAAAAAATTAATTATTGTCTAAAGTTTTACATATGTCTCCTTTTTTCACAATTGACCCCACAACCCCCCAGCCATTCCCACCCCAGTGTTTGTGTCCTTTGGTTGCTCTCTAACACCTCCCTCCTCGCCATTTCTCTCTGGATCTATTCTCATTCATCAAATTATGTTTATCATTATATCCCACACATGAGTGAGATCATGTTTGTTTTTTAAGTAGAAGCTTAGAATCATGCCTTTAAAATGAGATCATTCATGATTTGTTCTTTGAAGGATTTATTTTAATAAGGTTCTTCTACAATTGGATGGTGACAAAGTTTAGGTTTGTTGGGATTATTTTCCAACAGCCAATCAGCTAGCCAAATCTATGAAGAAAAAAAAAGATACCTTAACTTAGTAAACATTGAAATATTTTCTTCAATATATAGCATATCGATTTAAACCTTAAACAGTTTTCAAAATCACTCTAAAAATAATGAGAAAATGACCATTAAAAACTGAAACATTAAATTTAGATTGTCAGTACAGATCCAAATTGGAAAGAAAGAAGTAAAACTATCTCCATTCACAAATGATATGATCCTATATATAGAAAATCCCAAAGAATTCACAAGAAAGCTACCAGAGCTAATACATGAATTTGGCAAATTTATAGGTTATAAGATCAACACATAAAAGTCAGATGTTTCTATACATTGCTAACGAACAATCCAAAAAGAAAATTAAGCTGAAACCACTTTGGTAGAGCGTCGGTCTGTGGACTGAAGGGTCCCAAGTTCAATTCCGGTCAAGGGCATGTATTGTACATTGGTTGTGGGCACATCCCTGGTGGGGGGTGTGCATAAGGCAGCTGGTCCATGTTTCTCTCTCATCGATGTTTCTAGCTTTCTATCCCTCTCCCTTCCTCTCTGTAAAAAATCAATAAAATATGTTTTCAAAAAAACAACAAAAAAGGAAATTAAGAAATCACTTTCATTTATAATAGCACTGAAAAACACATATGTAGGAATAAATTTAACCACCTTGTATAACTGAGAACTATTAAACATAGCTGGTATCCTATTTCAGAAGTTGTCTTTTTGCAGATCTTGGTGTTAAAAGATAAAACAAAAACAAAAAAAACACCACATAGTTGAAAGAAATTTAAAGACTTAAATAAATAAATACATGCTGTGTTAATGGAGAGTGGAGAGGCTTAATACTGTTAAGAAGTTAAATATCAATACTACACAAACTGATATGCATATTCAACATAATACATATCAAATTTCCAACAATAATTTTTGCATAAATAAAAAAGTCAATTCTCAGATTTATATAGAATTTCAAGAGGGCTCTGAATAGCCAAAGCAATCATAAAAAAGAACAAAATTGGAGGATTCTCTGACTTCGTTCTTTCTCATTTCAAAATTTTCTTCAAAGCAATAGCAATCCAAGCAGTGTGATTCTGACAAATAAATAGACCTATATAGACCAATGAAATAGCACTTTAGAGTCCAGAAATAAATCCTAACACATATATAAAAATTAATTCAAAATGGATCAACAACTGAAATATAAGAGCTAAAACCATTAAAATGTTTTTTAAAATATATTTTTAAATCGATTTCAGAGAATAAGGGAGAGGGAGAGAGAAACAGAAACATCAATGATGAGAGAGAATCACTAAAAGGTTACGTCCTGCAGGCCTCACACTGGGGATCGAGCTCGAAACGGGGCATGTGCCCAGACAGGGAATCAAACCATGAGTTCCAGATTCATAGGTCAATGTTCAGCCAATCAGCCATGCCAGTCAGGCAACCATTAAGATCACAAAAGAAAACATAGAAATAAATCTTCATCACCTTGGCTTTAACAATAGGATTCTTAGATATGATACCAAAAGCATGAGCAACAAAATAAAAAAGATAAACTGATTTTCATCTAAATTTTAAAACTTTTTGGCATAAAAGAACTATCAATAAAGTGAAAAGAACCAACCTACAGAAAGGGAGAAAAATTTAACAAATAATATATCTGACAAAGATTTGATACCTATAACATGTAAAAAAAACTACAACACAACAACAACAAAAAATTAAGACTGGGCAAAAAACTTTAACTGGAACAGACATTTCTACAAAGAAAAGATACAAATGGCCAATAAGCACATGAAAAGATGCTCAACATAATTTACATTAGAGAAATACAAATAACTGATAAACTATTTCACATCTACTAGGATGATTATAATGAAACAAAAACAGAAAGGCCTGCAGCCAATTGAATGTGTGAGGGAGGCAACTAATCAATGTGTCTCACATCAATGTTTTTCTCTCTATGGGTCTCTCCCCCTCCTTTCCACACTCTCTAAAAATCAATGGAAAAAAGGTGAGGATTAACAACAACAACAACAAAAACAATGATTCTCAGTACTTACACTGTTTCAAAGAATAAAATATTTGAGATATGAAAACTATATTCAGCCGAGACCGGTTTGGCTCAGTGGATAGAGCATCGGCTTGGGGACTGAAGGGTCCCGGGTTCGATTCCGGTCAAGGGCATGTACCTTGGTTGCGGGCATATCCCCAGTGGGGGGTGTGCAAGAGGCAGCTGATCGATGACTCTCTCATCGATGTTTCTAGCTTTCTATCTCTCTCCCGTCCTCTCTGTACAAAAATCAATACAATATATTTAAAAACAAAACAAAACAAAAAAAACTATTGTATATTCAATATTCTTTAATGTGAATAAAAAGATTTCTTACACAAGGATCTGCTGGCTTGTGCTTACAAAGCTCTGTGAGTCCTTTCAGCAGAGTTGGAATGACATATAAATTCAAATAGTCCCTCGCAGCTTGTCCCACTGGAATAGGCTCAACAATCACTGCAAATACAAATGTATCCCCATTAAAGCTAACATAAATGATGAAATATTACACAGTCATTAAAAAAGATACCTTCAAAGAAAGTTTAATGTAATGAGAAATACTTATAAAGGTTTTTAAGGGAATACAACTGATACATAGCATAATAGTTGACTCAAAAACACACAAGTACACACATAAAAAAAATAAGACTACTTAAGACTGGCAAGAAACATATCAAAATGCTAATAGTAATCATGTGTATGATTCTGATTATTTTTCAACTATATCTTTTTCTGAATTTTTATTTCCATGTTTTTTACAGTAAATGTTATAACACAATGTTATGAAAAATAAAAAAATGAACAACATGTAAAATCAGGGAGATTCATTCAAAAAATTCCTGCCAACAAAATGAAGGCGCTTCACAAAGTGGTAGATACAACAGTGAATAGTATGTAGTTCTTGCTCTCTTTTAGACTACTGAATATACATAAAGAACTTATATCTGTCTATATAATATGTATTAATATTCCTACTCTTATTTTTCAGGTTTATTATTTAAAAACTTGGGGAAACTGTTGTCTTTTCAGCCTTATTTGAACACAATGGAGGTGAACCAGATTTGCAATACAGGAAAGAATCCTATATGATAAAAGGCTAATATGCAAATTGTCCCCTTAACCAGAGTTCAACCGGGAGTTCGATCAGGGGACAGGGTCGCAGGCCAACCGCTCATGGCCCCTCCCCCTGGCCAGCCTCACCCCTTATCAGCCCCCTCCACCCCAATCAGGGTAGACTGGCTGGATCCCACCTGTGCACAAATTCATGCACTGGGCCTCTAGCATATTTATATAAGAAAGAATGGATTTTATAAGGTTTAGTAGATCTTTTGAGATTGACCTCCATCAATATGCTACTTTTTAAAAAATTTATTGATTTTAGAGAAGAAGGGGGGGAGAGAGAGAAACATCAATTTGTTAATCCACTCATTGGTTCTTTTTTTGAATGGAGGGTTTTTTTGTGTGTTACTTAAAAATATATTTTATTGATTTTTTACAGAGAGGAAGGGAGAGGGATAGAGACCTAGAAACATCGATGAGAGAGAAACTGTGATCAGCTACCTTATGTACACCTCCTACTAGGGATGTACCCGCAACCAAGATGCATGTCCTTGACCAGAATCGAAGGCCGACACTCTATCCACTGAGCCAAACTGGTTAGGGCTCATTGGTTGATTCTTATGTGCCCCTGACCAGGAAGCAAATCCACAACTTTGGCATATTGGGAAGACGCTCTAACCAACTGAGATACCCATCCAGTGCTCTCGGTCCTATTTTAAAAATGAAAATCAGATTAAAATGCTTCATTGGCTCTTGCTTGCATATATAGTCAAGACAGGACTCCATATTTATGGCCCATAAGATTCTGTAGCATGTCACCTATACTACCTCTCCAAACTCATTTTATTTCTCTTACCAATATCTTTTTTTGTTTATAGGATGTGCCAAGTTATTTCCTGCTCATGATTTGAGCACATGCTATTCCTTCTGCTAGAACATTCTTCCCTTTACTCTGGTTAACCACTGCTTACTCTTTGGATCTCAGCTAAAAAGTCACTTTCTCTGTCAGATCTTCCTTTCAGTCCACAATTGCTTTGTATAGCACTTATCACACAATAACTATGCAATTACTTGGGTAATTCTTGTTTAATGGCTATCTTTCAAACACTAAACTCCATGGGAGAACAGACCTCATCCATTTTTTAATGATTTTTAAAGTTTTATTGAGATAATTTACATATCATAAAATTCATCCATTATGTATACAAGTGATATTTAATAAATACCGTGTTTCCCCAAAAATAAGTCAGACTCCGAAAATAAGACCTAGCGCATGGAAAGATAAGACATCCCCTGAAAATAAGACCTAGCACAACTTTGGGAGAAAAAATTAATATAAGAAATTGTCTTATTTTCGGGGAAACAGGGTATTTAGTTGTGTTATCATCACCATGATCCAGTTTTAGAACACTTTGATCACTCCAAAAATATTTCCTTGTGTCTATTTACAATTTAAAATATTTCCTTGTGTCTATTTACAATTTCCGGCTTCCATTCCTATCCCCAGCAACCACTGTGCTTCTTTCTGTTTCTAAAAATTTGCCTTTTCTGGATATTTCATAAGTGGATTATGTAATATGTGGTCTTTTGTGCCTGGATTCTTTCACCTAGCATGTTTTAAGGTTCATCCATGTTGTGGCATGTATCATGTTCCTTTTAGTTCAGTTTAATTCTGTTTTATGGCTAACAGTTGGATTGTTTCCAATTTGGGGTACATTAAATAATGCTGCTATAAAGATTCACATGTGTCATTATGTAGATGGATGTTTTAAAAAGTATTGGGTGGTAGATTCTGCCCGGAGTTGAATGGCTAACAGACTTACCTAGTTTCTTAATATTTTAAGAAAAGGCCAAAATGTTTTTCAAAAGTACTATAAGCCCTGGCCGGGTAGTCAGTTGGTTAGAGCATCATTCTGATATACCAAGGTTTCAGGTTCAATCCCAGTCAGAACACATACAAGAATCAACCAATGAATGCATAAATAAGAGGAACAACAAATCAATGTTGTTGTTTTCTCCCTCTTCTCCCTCCCCCTCCCTCCCTCCCTCCCTCTCTCTCTCTCTCTCTCTCTCTCTCTCTCTCTCTCTCTCTCTCTCTCTCTCTTTCTCTCTCTCTCTCTCTCTTTCTCTCCCCCCAAATAAGTAAAAATACAAAAGTGGCTGTAACATTTGCAATAATGTATGAGGATCCCAGGATTGCTATATCCTTACCATTGATTATAGCCGTTCTAATGGAAATGCCATGGTATCTCATTGTGGTTTTATTTTGCACTTCTCCAATTATTAAGTTGAGCACTTTTTCATGTGCATATTAGCCACTCATATACTGTCTTTTGTGAAATACTTATTCAAATTTTGCCCGTGTTTTAATTGGGTTGTTTATTATTGAGTTGTAAGAATTCTTTATACAGGGTGAAACAAAAGGAGGTTTGTGGCACTAGCTGGTTTGACTCAGTGGATAGAGCACTGGCCTTCAAACTGAAGGTCCTAGGTTCGATTATGGACAAGGGCACATGCCAGGGTTGCAGGCTTGATCCCCAATGGGGGGAGTGCAGGAGGCTGCCTATAAGTTATTCTCTTTCATTATAGATCTTTCTCTCTCTCTTCCTCTCTAAAATAAATAAAAATATATTAATAAAAAGAAAACATATCCCCAGTAGGGGGTGTGCAAGAGGCAACTGATCGATGACTCTCTCTCATCGATGTTTCTAACTCTCTCTCTCTCTCCCTTCCTCTCTGTACAAAATCAATAAAATATATTTTTTTTTAAAAAAGAAAAGAAAAAACACATAAACTGATGTTTGAGATATGCTTCAAAATAATATGGAAGCAAGAGATATAGGAGCTGAGGTTACAGATGAAATATGATTGACCATAACTATTAAATTTGGGTGATGAGCTCATTAGGGCTTTATTATATTACTTGAGGCCCAGTGCACAAAATTCATGCATGGTGTGGGGAGGGTGTCCCTCAACCAGCCTGCATCCTCTCCAATCTGGGACCTCTTGAGGGATGTCCAACTGCCCATTTAGGCCCAATCCCAGTGAGGCAGTCAAACATCCTTCTCACAATCCAATACTGCTGGCTACCAACTGCTCTGCCTGCCTGCCTGATTGCCCCTAACTGCTTCTGCCTGCCAGCCTAATCACCCTCTAATCACTCCCATGCCAGCCTGATTAATGCCTAACTGCTCCCCTGCCAGCCTGTTTGCCCCTAACTGCCCTCCCCTGCAGGCTTGATTGCCCCCAACTGCCCTCCCTTGCAGGCCTGGTCCCTCCCATCTGCCATCCCCACTGGCCATCTTGTATCAGCCATCTTGTGTCCACATGGGAGCAACCATCTTGTGTGTTGGAGTGATGGTTAATTTGAATATTACTCTTTTATTAGATAGAATTCTGCCTATTTTTGTGTATGTTGCAAATTTTATACAATAAATAGTTCTGAAGAAAATGACACCTTAATACAATGGATATGTGACAGAAATTAGATCAGTAAGATTAAATATAAGTAGGCAAATACTTTTGGATACAAATATCTATAACACAGTTTTTAAAAAATATATATATTTTATTGATTTTTTACAGTGAGGAAGAGAGAGGGATAGAGAGTTAGAAACATCAATGAGAGAGAATCATCGACCAGCTGTCTCTTGCATACCTCCTACTGGGCATGTGCCCGCAACCAAGTTACATGCCTTTGACTGGAATCAAACTTGGAACCTTTTAGTCCGCAGACTGATGCTCTCTCCACTGAGCAAAACCGGTTTCGGCAAAACAGGTGTTTTTTTTTAAATAATATATTTTATTAATTTTTTACAGAGATGAAGGGAGAGGGACAGAGAGTTAGAATCACTGATAAGGAAGAAACATTGATTAGCCTCCTCCTGTACACCTTCACTGGGGATGTACCGGCAACCAAGGTACATGCCCTTGACCAGAATCGAACCTGAGACCTTTCAGTCCAAAAGCCAATGCTCTATCCACTGAGCCAAACCAGTTAGGGCTCTAAAACAGTTTTTGTTTAAAAATCAGGACTTTTAAATATCCAAGATAGTTTTCTGTTTTCTTTGAATAAATATTCAATATAAAATAGAGAGGAACAAGTCTAAATGAGTTAGAAAAGAAATAACATGCAAAAAAATTTTTTTAAAAACTGCCTGATACTTTGCATTTTGTCTTCATAATGAAAATCGGCAAATGTTCTTTGTCTTAAAATTACTGAAAACAAACTAAAAACCTCAATGTTGTCCTCATTGTGCCTACTTCTAAAAGATTTATAGCCCTAGCTGGTTTAGCTCAGTGGATAGAGCATCGGCCTGTGGACTGAAGGGTCCTTAGTTCAATTCTGGTCAAGGGCACATGCCCGGGTTGTGGGCCCCATCCCCAGTGTGGAGTGTGCAGGAGGCAGCCAATCAATGATTCTCTCGCATCATTGATGTTTCTATCTCTCCCTTCCTTTCTGATATCAATAAAATTATTAAATAAATAAATGATTTATAGCCTTCACAACAGGATGGAAACAAACAAAAAAGGCCAAGAATTATTAATTTCACAATTGCATGTGTGCTGGACAAATAGTACACTGTTAGAGAAAATGGAAAACCAATAATAATTTCCAAGGGAGATTCTTTTTTTCACGTGTAACAAATTTCACTGATGCATTATAGATAATTCAAAAGTATTACAACACAGAAGGAGAAGAAAAATCCTAAATATTTCTAGTCCAAGAGAAAAGAAAGAAAAAAATTAAACTGTTCTCAAAAGATTTCCTAGTAGGCACAATTTAGTTCTGAAGATAATGTTGAGTTTTCTATTCTTGGCTTTAAGTTAACTACAACTTGAAAATATGACAAAATATATTGGAGAAAAGCCATTACTTTTTTCCTAGTTACATCCCAAAATAAAAGAAAAATCAAACAATAAGGAGATGCAATTGACTAATTACTCATCTATAACTCACCTTCAGGAAACATGAATCGAATTTCTCTTTCAGCTGCAGCAAAATCAGAACTCCCATGAAGTGCATTCCTTAGGTCATCTGTGCCATAAATTGCCCTTAGACTAAAAACAAGTTAGAGATGATGACCACCCAATCTGACATCCTTTTTCTTACTTTTTACATATGCATCCTATTTAAGTATTTTACAAAAGCTTTGCCACTTCTCACATATTGTTTTAAGCCTGAATTCAAGCTTTAATCTATCTAGATGAGAGTCAAATATCTTTAAAATCTTCAGGAGGGATACAATGGGGAAACAGGAGTTCTCTGGATGAAAAATAGATGTTTTATGAGAAGTGAAAAAGCAGTATCAATTCAAAAGTGCAAGAACTCACCTGGCTGGCGTGGCTCAGTGGCTGAGTGTGGACCTAAGAACCAGGAGTTCATGGTTCAATTCCTGGCAAGGGTACATGCCCGGATTGCGGTCTCAACCCCCTGTATGGGGTGTGCAGGAGGCAGCCAATCAATGATTCTCATCATTGATGTTTGCATCTCTCTCTCCCTTCCTCTCTGAAATCAATAAAAATGTATTTTTTTTTAAATGCAAGAACTCAATGTCCACTGTTTTCTAGACATTAATGATAATGCTGGAAATCTTGAGTTCTGGTCCTGTATTATCAATACTCTTTTAAAATACAACATCAATTTTCTTTTGTTTGTTTTTTTAAATATATATTTTATTGATTTTGTACAGAGAGGAAGGGAGAGAGATAGAGAGTTAGAAACATCGATGAGAGAGAACCATTGATCAGCTGCTTCTTGCACACCCCCTACTGGGATTGTGCCCGCAACCAAGGTACATGCCCTTGACCGAAATCGAACCCGGGACCCTTCAGTCCCCAAGCCGATGCTCTATCCATTGAGCCAAACCGGTTTCGGCAAAATACTACATCAATTTTCTCATGATAAACCCTACTTCAGTGGTAGTTTAATTCCAGGATAAGCAAATAAGGTTAATCAACCACAGACAGACATTCCCTGAGACCTTTTGTGGTATTTGGTATTAAGATACAGATTTAAATAGTTAAAACATAAAATGAACCTCCCTGCCACCCCAAAAAACCAAACAACAACAGTTAAACTTAGGAAAACTTTAAATAAAAGAAAATCCCTATTACAATGAAATCAGATTTTTTTTTTTCATTTTCATAGTAGGATTGTATTTTTCCCTAGGAAAGTTACCTGTCTGGATGTGTCTCCTTAGCTACTAAGCTATTGCTTGGTCCCAAAAGTTCTTTCCAGTAAGAGATGGCTTTATGTCTAGCTAATATCATAGCAACAAGTGGTCCAGAACTCATATAAGCTGTTAAGTTGGGGAAAAACATTTTCCCATACTGTTCCACATAAAAGTTACTACAATGCTCAGGGCTAAGTTGTAGTTTTCTTCTCTATAAGAGAAACAAAATCAACAAAAATATTTAATATGACAGTTCAATAATACCTGGTTAAGTCATTAATAACTTAAAATTAGTACCAACCTGATTATAAATTTGACATTTATTTTTGTATTATGAAGAAAGGATTAGGTAAGAAATTTAAATATAGGATGTAAATAAAATTATAAGAATTATTTAACCAACTTAAGAAAAACTATTCCAACATATACTTTTAAAAAATATATCTTTATTGATTTCAGAGGAAGGGAAAGGGAGAGAAAGAAACATCAATGATGAGAGAGAATCACTGATTGCTGCCTTCTGCACGCCACAGCCTGGGGATCGAGCCTACAAACTGGGAATGGGCCCTGATCAGGAATTGAACTATAATCTTGATTCATAGGTTGAATCTCAACCACTGAGCTACTCCAGCTGGGCAACATATGCTTTGTTATTAACAAACTCATCATATCTCCTTCTTAAAATAAAAACATTCTAACCACCAGTATTTTGTTTTTTGTTGTTGTTGTTGTTAATCCTCACCCAAGGGTATTTTTTCTATTGATTTTTAGAGTGAATGGAAGGAAAAGGGGGTTGGGGGAGAAGAGGAAAAAAACCAACATCATCAATGTAAGAGAGAGACACACATCAATTGGTGGCCTCCAGAACATGCCCCGTCCGGGGGAAGGAATCAAACTTGCAATCCAGGTAACTGCCCTTGACTGGGAATCGAACCTCTGACCCTTCGGTATGCAGGACAACACTCTAACCACTGAACCACACCAGCCAGGGCAGTATTTTGTTGATGAATACTCTGTGTACATTAAAGTAACAAAAATGAATTTTAGAATATTCCCATTCATTCTTCTTATCTACTTGTGGTATTTTCCTATTTTATTGTGAAATTTTCCTACAGTATTTTAAGGGAGCTGGTCTAACTGTGGCACTTAGAAATATGCAACTAATGCAGTAGTTTCAAGATGGCTGCAGAGTAGGTGGATCTTTCTTGCACTTTCTCCCAGAACCATACTGGAAATAAAACTAAACTGCATGTGCTATTGTGTGGAAGAGCCACACTCAAGGGGCCAAAGAGCCGCATGTGGCTCATGAGCCGCAGTTTGCTGACCACTGCATTAGCTCATTTAACTTTAGCACCTGTCGATTCCCAGTAGCTTTTCCAGAATTGCTATCTTCACCATGAAGCTCCATGAGTTTTCCCAATTCAAATTTGAATTTCTTCAGCATTTTGACTTTTCTTACAAAGACATTGTGGAGAGAATAGATTGGTAAGCTTTTTCTGCCTTTTCTAATGCTATCTGGAATCAGTTAATTGACCACTTCTTTCAAGTCATTTGTTCGCACCTCTTGGGTCATGATTCCCACTATCTTCTGGATTTGGTGGACCTGTTGATGCTGAGCTTAAGAGTCTTCCAAATCTGCCAAAGCTGGTTTGGCTCAGTGATTGAGCATTGGTCTGCGGACTGAAAGGTCCTAGGTTCGATTCCGGTCAAGGGCATGTACATTGGTTGAGGGCACATCCCCGTTGGGTGTGCAGGAGGCAGCTGGTCGATGTTTCTATTTCATTGACGTTTCTAACTCTCTATCTCTCTCCTTTCCTCTCTGTAAAAAAAAATCAATAAAATATATATTTTTTAAAAAGTCTTCCAAATCTGATTGTTTCACTTTTAAAAAATAAAATAAAAACAACACAGATAAATGAAACAAATAACTATCGCTAACCTTGACATTAACATGAGCTTCTATCATGATCTGGCACTTTTTTTTTTTTTTTTTTTTTTTACCATTTTGTCACAGGAAAGATCCATGCCATGGAAATTAGTCACATAGTTTTTTGCCTGAAAAGCCTCAGTAATTTGCTTGAATTTTCTAAATGCAACTCATCAGTCTGCACATCAGCTAGGCTCATTTCAAAAACATAACCCTTGAGACCATCAGATGTGATTTTGGATCCTTGAGTTCTCATGACGAGTGTTTTTCCAACGTTTCTTTTTAAAAATTAATTAATTTATTTATTTTTATTTTTTTATTTTTTTAAACATATATTTTATTGATTTTTTACAGAGAGGAAGAGAGAGGAATAGTTAGAAACATCGATGAGAGAGAAACATCGACCAGCTGCCTCCTGTACATGCCCTTGACTGGAATCGAACCTGGGACTCTTGAGTCCGCAGGCCAACGCTCTATCCACTGAGCCAAACCGGTTTCGGCAAAAAAAAATTATTTATTTATTTATTTATTTATTTTTAACCCTCACCTGACAACATTTTTTCCCACTGATTTTCAGACAGAGTGGAAGGGAGAGAGGATAGGGGGAGAGAGAAACATCAAAATGAGAAAGACACATCAATTGGTTGCCTCCCACATGCCCCCAAATAGAGCCAGGGATAGAACTTGCAACCGAGATACATGCATTTGACCAGGAATTGAACCCTCAGCCCTTTGGTTCAAGGGCTGGTGCCCTAACCACTGAGAAAAACTGATGAGGGTTCCAATATTTCTTATATTGAATAGAACTGGTGCTTTCACATCATATCAAGTTTTCTTAGAAAAATGGGTCAACCCCCTTTATTCTTGGGTCCCTTTTTGCCTCCTTTTGTAAGAGACTGGTTCTTGCCCACTGCCATGGTGTTGCTCAGAGAGCCTAAAGGCCAGTCCAAGTTTTTAAAAAATGGTTTACCTGGTTTTCCTAACAACATTAAAAATTTCATTTTACCTGAGTCCTTTCATTACTATATGAAATATTTCCTTATACTTTCCTGTATTATTTCCTTACGCTTTCTTTTATTTCCCTATCTTCAGCCTCCACCTATCCTAAGTTCAACCAATATCCCATTTCTTTCCCGAAGATTCTTTTTCATTTTTTAAAACATTGACTAAATAGGCAATATGACACAGTATAAGAGAATAAAAACAGGAATTTCAAATAAAAATGATACAAAAAAGGAAGATTAAACTTATTCAGTTCTATTTAATATTTTTTTACATTCATTTTCAAACCTTTACCAACTGCAGAACAAAAAAAGCTTAAAACATTAAATGTTTGTAATAATTGAGAAAAAAAAAAATACCAACAGTCTCCAAGTCCATCAATAGAGGACCAAGTAGCCCAGCCAGTGTGGCTGTCCTTGAGCATGGATCCATGCACCAAGAGGTCATTGATTGGATTTCCAATCGGAGAGCCTGGGTTGTAGGCCCAATCTCCAGCAAGGGGTGTGCAGGAGACAATCAATGTTGATGTTTCTCTCTCATTGATGTTACCTCTCCCTCTCCCTCCCCCTCTCTCTAAAATCAACTTTTTATTTTATTTATTTATTTTTTTTAAGAGGACCAAGTAAATAAATTGTGGTTCATCCACACAGGGGATATTACACAAAAGTTAGGAGGAGTAAGTTAGATTCAGATGTTATGATCTGAAATGATATGTGAGGGATTTGTAAAGGTAGGTCAAGAGAAAGGGATTGTCCTATTTTAACAGAGAGGGATACTTGTGAATGCAAAGAAAATCCTGGAAGAACAGAAAGTGTTGCGGAACCGGTTTGGCTCAGTGGATAGAGTGTCAGCCTGCGGACTCAAGGGTCCCAGGTTTGATTCCTTGGTTGCAGGCACATCCCCAGTGGGTGGTGTGCAAGAGGCAGCTGATCGAAGATTCTCATCAATATTTCTAACTCTCTATCCCTCCCTCTTACTCTCTGTAAAAAATCAATAAAATATATTTTTTTAAAAAGAAAATGTTAAGTGGTTGCCTCTTCTGGAGACTGAGATTTGGAGTGGGAGAGGAGGTAAAAGAATTTTATTTTTCATTTTACATATTTTGAAGTGTGAAAAAAAAAACAACCTTAAATCTATCTCATATAATTTTTATAGTTAGATGAATAAACCTAAATTTAATGCTAAATACTATTGCTCTAAATAAGTTAACACATTTACACAGACATAAAAAAGAAGGATCAATGAGAGAAAATAACATAATCATCGTGCCCAAAAGTTACCTGAACAATGGTGAATCCAGATCTGATAATAATATCTTGTATCTCCTCCTCTTTGTCAACAATATCCGGTTTGATAATGGCCAGAGTTTTTTCTACATATATCTGAAGTGGGGGCATTGATAGTTCCATTCTGGTCTTTTGAGGTTCAAGTTAAAGAGATTCTTGACAGGTATCAACTGCAATGACATGCATTCCCGTAACCCCAATAAAATCTAATTGTGATTAAGAATGGCATTATTAGCCAAAACCAGTTTGGCTCAGTGGTAGAGCGTCGGTCTGTGGACAGAAAGGTCCCAGGTTCGATTCTGGTCAGGGGCATGTACATTGGTTGTGGGCACATCCCTGGTGGTGGTGGTGGGGGGGAGTGTGTGTGCAGGAGGCAGCTGGTCGATGTTTCTCTCTCATCGATGTTTCTAGCTCTCTATCTCCTTTTCTCTCTGTAAAAAAATCAATAAAATATATTTTTAAAAAAAGAATGGCATTATTAGGTGCTTGATTTTATTAATTTATAAAGTTAGAAACTGCAACATGTTTTTCTATAAGCAGTGTCTGATACAGGCATACATGGGAGATATTGCAGACTCTATCTCGAGTATCGAAATAAAGGGTGTAATAAACTTTTTTGCTGGTGGAGGGTCTTGCCTTCAGTTTATAAAACACGCAATACCTATGAAGCGAAGAAAGCAAGTGCAATAAAACAAGGTATGCCTGTAATACAATTTCTACTCTGCGGTTGTGCCCTGGGATTTCCTGAACACTTTTTCTTCTCTCCCCCCAATCCTGCAGATCTCTCCCTCTCCCCCACCCTTCACCATTTATCCCCTTTATGCTCACTTCCACTTCCACCCCATCCCATCCCTCCACAATCATTACACTACTGTTTATGTCCATGAGGATTGAGCAAAAAAGGAGAGAGGGAGGAGAGGGAGGGAAGGAAGGGGAGGGGGAGAGAGAGAAAGAATGAATGAGAAAGGGAGGGAGAGGAGGAAGGGAAAGAAGAAGGGGAGAGAGAAGAAGAGGGAGGGAGTCAGAGAGGAAGGGCGAGGGAGAGGGAGAGAAGGAGAGAGGAAGAGAATGAGGGAGAGAGGGAGGGAGGAAAAGAGAGAAAGAGAGAGATTCCTAAATACTTTCAATGAGGTGGAGAGGCCAAGGGCAACTTGTCCCCTGGACCTCTCCCAGCCGCAGCCACAGATTCTGAGTCTGACGTTGGTTCTGGCACTCACCTCCGTGCTAACTGGTTTTATGGATCCACTGCTCGTTGCTAGGAGACGTGAAGCCCAGTTTAAGGACGGTGGCTGCAGAGAGTCATTCCCAGCAGTCCGTTTAACAGCCTCTGGAGGGCTCCTTAACCAAGGAAGCCAGCCACAGTCATTTTTATTCCCCTTAAGAATCTTAGCGTACTAGATGTTTTCTTACATTTTAGTCATAATTTAGCTTCTTTCATCCTTCTACTCATTTGAAGTACGCTTCAATTGCCCCCATTTTATAAATGAGACAAAGCCATAAACACTTTACCCACCCCATCCTCCTTCCATGTCATTTTCATTTCACCAAATGATGCTGTCCCCTCTATTCCCAGCTTCTGTAATCATTAAAAAGCACTCTTATACTTGTGAAGTAACATTTATTTATAGAGCAATCGTAAGAGGTCTAATCCAGTTACCTCTAAATTAAGCCTATGGAACAAAGATATGGGTAATGTTTATTACCTCAAATTAAGTTTCCCCCCTTTTCTTAAAATTATGTCCACAGGCATCTTTGACTCCTAGGTTGTGAGTTGAGGTATTATTATTATTATTATTATTATTATTATTATGAAAGACAAAAGAGAAGGTGAACAAGTACAGGGATCTTCTCTGGATCAGTCTCAATGAGGTCCAAATTCCAGAAAAGGTCAGGGTTGCAGCTCCAGTTTAACAACACGGTTTTCCATCATGCACTGGATTGGCTGGTTCTCATTCCAGACTATTTAAGTTTCTTCTTTTGTCTAGCCAAATACTCAGCACCTACAGGGTCAAGGCAGATAGTGAACTATCAATCTTAAAAGCCAAAGAGGTTTGAGTTTCTTTTTCCACAATGAAATTTGATTATCTTTTTTTTCTTTAAAATATGATGTTACCTAGAAAATAAACCCTCAAATGTCATCTTCTGGCTACTATATCTTATCCCCTATGGATGGGATAGTGTGAACATACATTAATATTAACATTTAAAATGAACAGTGACTCTAGCCTCTGGTTTGCATGTTTAGCCCTCTGGTTTGAGACTCTTGCAGTGGAAGCTTTCATTACCATTACAGCTCTCTTGAGAACCCTTCAGTACTTCACTGTTAAAACTGGTCCTACTAAGGCTCAGAATTTTCTGAACCAGCAGGTAAAATGTTAATCATTGAATCACCTCTAAACATAAACTCTGGAACACTTCAACATCATCCACCCTTATTCTCAGACTTTCTAAAATCTGGTTCTGAAGATTATACTAGTTTTTCTTGCAGCTGTCTACATAAAGTACCTGAATCTGCTCCAGGACTTCTCGCTGCATCTCCACAGCCATATGATACACATGATGATCAGAGTCATTGTACATCACAGCATTTTGGAACATCAGCATCAAGTCTCGCTGGAATTGTGCCATGGTGCGAATCCGTCCTTTAGACAGATTCCTTTTCAGGGTAGTTAAATCCATGGGTCTACATGTGGCCAAGAAAAAAGCAGAGGAAATCTAATCTTCATGTGGAACATGTGGTGACATAATATGATCTCTTGAAGAACTAACCAGTTTTTTTTTTTTAAGCATTTTTAAAAATTGATTTTTAGAGAAAGAAAAAGGGAGAAACATCTATGCAAGAGTGAAACATTGGTCAGCTGCCTCCTACTGGGTATCAAACCAGTAACCCTTATGGGCACAGGATGATGACGAACCCACTAAACTTTAGTGACTAAAGCAATGGCAATAACCAGCTTTCTTTCTTTTTCTTTTTTTAAACTATATTTTATTAATTTTTTTACAGAGAGGAAGGGAGAGGGATATTGAGTTAGAATCATCGATTCTAACAACCCCTACTGAAGATGTGCCCGAAACCAAGGTACATGTTCTTGACCAGAATTGAACCTGGGACCTTTCAGTCCACAGGCTGACGCTCTACCCACTGAGCCAAATCAGTTAGGGCCCAGCTTTCTTTTTTTTTTTTTTGTTAATCCTCACCTGAGGATATTTTTCCATTGATGTTTAGAGAGAGTAGAAGAGAGAGAACTATCGATGTGAGAGAGATGTATTGATTGGTTGCCTTGTGCATGAGCCCTAACCAGGGCCTGGGCCAGGGAGGAGCCTGTAACCAAGGATGTGCCTTTGACTGGAATTGAACCCAAGATCCTTTGGTCCGCAAGCCGATGCTCTATCCACTGAACCAAACTGTCTAGGGCTCCATTGATTTTTATACAGAGTGAACGGGAGGGGGAAAGACGAGAGAAACATCAATATGAGAGACACATTGATTGGTTGCCTCCCACATGTTCCTGGGGATCAAGCCTACAACTAAGGTATGTGCCCTTGACTGGAATCAAATCTAGAACCTTTCAGTCTTGGCCGGTGCTCTATCTACTGAGCCAAACTAGCTAAGGCAGTAACTAGCTCATAATGAAAATGGTAGTAAAAATAATAACCCTCATCAGATAATAAAATAGCAACAGCAGTTAACATTTGACTACTACTACCTAAAATAGGCCAAGTACTAAGTTAGGTACTTTCCATATTAACTCAGTTAAACCTCCCAATAAACCTATAAGGGAGGTACCATTATTACAACCAACTGGCAATGAGCAAACTGAGATCTGAAAAGGTTAAGTACTAGCTCAAAGTCACACAACCTGGAATCTAATTGGGAGGCAGTCTGACTTTATAACCTATAGGCCCAATTACTATAGTCTACTATTGTAGGAGGAGGGTTGGCCCCAGGTACCAACGCTGTAAAGAACTCCAATGATCAATGTGTCATATGGGAGTTATTGACTGATTGTTTAAAGTGTAGAGTCATATATTAGATATTAAATCTACGTCTATTATTGCATAATCAAAAGCTAAGAATGTTTTTCTCCTTCCATGGTGAAGAAAAGAGTGAGAATCAAGTCAATATTAAGACAAATTATATAAATATAATTGATTTTGGAGAGAAAAGGAGGGATAGAAATAGAAACATCAATGATGAGAAAATCATTGACTGTTTCCTGCATGCCCCCTAGTGGAAATTGAGCCCACAACCCAGGTATGTGCCCTTGACTAGAATCTGGGACCTTTCAGTCCATAGGCAGATATTCTATCCACTGAGCCAAATCAGCTAGGGCTTAAGACAAATTACTAGTGAGATACAGAGAGTGGGTATATAAGAGAAAAGCAGTGTAGAAAGAGGACTGAAGTGAGAGGTAAGAATCTGTGATTTAGCCCAATCAACATTTCTCAAAGGTTGAGCATCCACCTATGAATCAGGAAGTCATGGTTCGATTCCCGGTCAGGGCACATAGCTTGGTTTGGGCTCAATTCCTAGTCGAGGGCAGGAAGCAGCCAATCAATGGTTCTTTCTTATCATTGATGTTTCCCTCTCCCTTCTCCCCTCTCCCTTCTCCCCTCTCCCCTCTCCCCTCTCCCCCTTCCCCTCCCCTCTCCCCCTCCCCCTCTGAAATATATATATATATATATATATATATATATATATATTTTTTTTTTTTTTTTTTTTTTTTTTTTTAATAATCTGGGATTTAGTTCTAGCTCTGCTATTCGCTGTTGATCACAGGGAAGTCAAGACCACCTCTGAGACTTAGTTTCCTTACCTATAGAATAAAGGAATCTGTCTCCAATGGTCCTTTCCTGTTCTTTTATAGTCTATTAACATTCTGGTTTATGACAGCTTTATTTATTTGTTTATTTGTTTATTTATTTATTTATATATTTTAAATCATTGTTGTTGAAAGTATAACATATGTCCCCCTTTTCCCCTCATTGATTCCCCAGGTTCCCAAGGCCTTCACCACTCTACTGTCTGTGTCCAAGGGTTATGCATACATCCATACAAGTTCTTTGGTCGATCTCTCCCCCACCTGCACCCCACCTTCCCTCTGAGATTCGACAGTCTGTTCCATATTTCTATGTCTCTGAATATATTTTATTCATCAGTTTATTTATGACAGCATTTTAAATGAAACATGCTATAAAAATCCAAAATACTATAACCAGACAACGTTTGTAACATCATTTGGATTATCATCTTTGCCTTAGTCATACCTATAACTGTCAGAATTAATATAGTGTTCCTTTTAAAGTTCTGCTCCAAAAGAACAATGTCAAAAACTTTGGAAAGTGGAGAAACCAAGATGGCGGCATAGGGTAGACACCCGAATGCAGCCATCACAACAAATTTGAATTTAGAACTGAAAAACAGGGGAAACACCACCCTGAAGCGCTGGACGGCTGGCTGAGAGGAGGCTCTACCATCTGGGAAGGAGAAAGAAGGCGCGCTGAACCTCAGGAACTGTGAAGGTGCGGAGAACTGTGCATGTGAAAAGGCGGCCGCAGAGTTCACTGCCGGCTTGCTTGCAGAGCGCGGAGAGGGCAGGCCGAGTTCGCTACTGGCTTACTCCCTGCGCGCACAGAGAGGGCGGACAGCTAATGCGCGGCTGGCTTTCTTGTTCGGGAGGAAAACAGAACCACCCTATTTCGCTGATAGATGGCCCCAGACAGGGAGAGGCCAGACTGTCAGGCAGTGGGCAGAGATCTCTCGGAGGTGTGTGAAGCCAGCGGCCATTACTGCGGGACTCAGAAACCAGACCCTCGTAGGGAGGGGCTGAATAAAGCTTGTCTGCACCAACCGAGACTCCGCCCCATCCAAGCTGATCACAGAAGCCCTTCCAGTGGCTAGCTTCCTCGTTCGCTGCCAATAGAACTCTCCTAGGGAGGGGCAGACAGGAATCTAAAGCTTGTCTGCAACCAATTGTGCAGGATTCAACAAAGCTTGTCTGTGCCACCCCGAGACTCTGCCCCATTCAAGCAAAATACAGAAGCCCTCCTAGTTGAGACACTTCTGATACTCATAATCAATTGGCTTGGAGATCAATGCTTCCCAGTGATACCAACAGCAAGCAAGGCTTAACAACAAGACTGCACACACAGCCCACAAAGGGCTACACCAAGACTGTCCACTCAGGTAACTGGGAGGCTGACTTACTGAACCATATAGGTAGGATACCTTAGCACACAAAGCCACCCTATCAACTCAGGGAAGCTGTGAAAATGCCGAGACAAGGAAACAGATCACAAACAAAAGAAATGGAGGAAAAGAAGAGACTGGATATAGAGTTCAAAACCACACTTATAAGGTTTTTCAAGAATTTCCTAGAAAAGGTCGATAAGACCTATGAGGAGATGAAAAGGGATCAACAAGAACTAATAAGGGATCAACAAAAAATAAAGAATACATTGTCTGAAATAAAAAATACTATACAGAATCCTAAAAACAGAATGGAAGATCGCAAGAATCAAGTCAAAGATTTGGAACATAAAGAGCCAGAAGATACTCCTCCACAGAAGCAAGAAGACAAGAGAATCCAGAAAGTTGAAGATAATGTAAGAAACCTCTGGGACAACTTCAAGCAAACCAACATCAGAATTATGGGGGTCCCAGAAGATGAGAGAGAGCAAGATATCAAAAACATACTGAAAGAAATAGTGACAGAAAACTTCCCCCACCTAGTGAAAGAATTAGACTTACAAGTTCAGGAAGTGCACAGAACTCCAAACAAAAGGAATCCAAAGAAGACCACACCAAGACACATCATAATTAAAATTCCAAGAGCAAAAGACAAAGAGAGAATATTAAAAGAAGTAAGAGCAAAGCAGGTAGTTACCTATAAAGGAGCACCCATACGATTGTCAGCTGGTTTCTCAACAGAAACCATGCAGGCCAGACGGGAATGGCAAGAAATATTCAAGGTGATGAATAGCAAGAACCTACAGCCAAAAATAATCTACCCAGCAAAGCTATCACTCAGAATCGAAGGCCAGATAAAGAGCTTCACTAATAAAAAAAAAAAGCTAAAGGAGTTCATCACCGCTGAACCAGAATCATATGAATTGCTGAAGGGGGTTCTTTTGGAAGAGAAAGTAAATAAAGATAAAAACTATGAACAACAAATACGTAACTATCAACAAGTGAATCTAAAAACCAAGGGAATTTAAAAAAATCTGATGAACAATAGTAACTGGTGAATATAATAGAATCAGAGGTATGGAAGGGGAGTGAACTGACAATTCTCGGGGAAAAGGGGAGAAGGGGGTGTGGGAAGAGACTGAACATAAACTGTCTACCTATAATGAGGACAATGGGGGGTGCGGAAAGGGCAGAGGGTGGGGTGGGAACCTGGTGGAGGGGAGCAATGGAGGGGGGGCGGAAATGAGGAACATTTGTAATAATATGAACAATAAAGATTTATTAAAAAAAAAAAAAAAACTTTAGAAAGTGCCCTATCTGGTTTGGCTCAGTGGATAGAGCATCCGCCTTCAGACTGAAGGGTCCTGGGTTCCATTCTGGTCAAGGACACATGCTCGGGTTGCAAGCTTGATCCCAAGTAAGGGGCAAACAGATGCTTCTCTCTCTCTCCCTCTCTGAAATCAATTTAAAAAATATATTAAAAAAAATACTACTGAAGGCAAATGTAAGATCATAATAAATATTACATAAAATTTAACAATTAAAAAAGCCCATTTTATCTTTTTGTTCCCCTTCATTCCTTCTCAAATAAAAGACTGAGCTCACCATAACTTTACAAACTTATTCAGCTATAAAGTTTATTTTAAATTTGTAAGTAATATAAATGAAATAAATAATCTAATAGATGGAGAATAACATCAGAAAAGACAGACATAAAAGCAACCAACCTTTCTTGCCCCCTTTTCCACTGACCTTTTCACCACATCCTTGTATCCTGGGGCCTGCCTTTCTGACACTGGCTTCAGAAATGGACTGCTGAACCTGTTAGGGGACAAATCCAGAAAGGATGGAGAAACCGTGGAAAGTCACTCTAAATGAGAAGAATGGCTATGAACATCAAGAGTGGTTTGGAGCCGAAACTGGTTTGGCTCAGTGGTAGAGCGTCGGTCTGCGGACTGAAGGGTCCTGGGTTCGATTCCGGTCAAGGGCATGTACCTGGGTTGCGGGCACATCCCCAGTAGGGGGTGTGCAAGAGGCAGCTGGTCGATGTTTCTCTCTCATCGACGTTTCTAGCTCTCTATATCTCTCCCTTCCTCTCTTTTTGTAAAAAAATCAATAAAATATATTAAAAAAAAAAAAAAAAAAAAGAGTGGTTTGGAGATCTACCTGTGACTGGCAATCATCTTCCATACTGGCAGGAGAGTCTTCTTAAACAATAAGTGATCCTGAACAGGATCACTCTGGCTTAGATTAGACCTGTGAGATAAAAAAGGACAGAAAAGAAACAATAATTTCACAAATGGCTTTCTGTCACTCCTAGTGGGTAATGAGGTTTTCTCAAGACAGTGTTCCTACTTAATAATACCATAAGAATAAAAACATAATTAATGCTTCCATAAGAAACCCTAAATTCTATAAATATTCTCTTACTAATCACTATTACTCAATGAAGTAGTTACCATTTTATCAAGTATATTACAAATCTACAATTGTCCTTGCTTTTTGGTCTCTTTGCTGATTTGTTCTTTAACACCTATGACTCTAAAATACTATTCTATGAAAGTAGTCTTTTTTTCACTGACATTTCCCAAGTGCCTGGCACATAGTAGGTGCTCAATTAAGTATCTGATAAATGAATCTGGTCCTATTTTTATGTAAAAATATGACACACTAATAACTATGTCTCCCATGTCTCAACAAAGAAAATACGTGGTTCCACATCCCAAAGAATCCTCACATTTTACCTGATTGTACACAATTTAAGTATTTTTTCTTTTCACTCTCCTGTATAAAGTAACTCTGAAAATACCTAAGAAAATTTCATTTATTTTCATGGCCATTTCTTCTCTGAGTTAAACTATCTATTTAGTTTTTCTTCAGAGATGAAATTGTCCAATGTTTTCTTTCTTTCTTTTTTTAAAAACAATATATTTTATTGATTTTTTTACAAAGAGGAAGGGAGAAGGATAAAGAACTAGAAACATCGATCAGCTGCCTCCTGCACACTCCTCACTGGATATGTGCCCGCAAACAAGGTACATGCCTTTGACCAGAATCAAACCTGGGACCCTTGAGTCTGCAGGCCAACACTCTATCCACTGAGCAAGCTGGTTAGGGCCATGGTTGGCAAACAGTGGCTTGTGAGCCACATGCAGCTCTTTGGCCCCTTGAGTGTGGCTCTTCCTCAAAATACCACGGCCTGGGCAAGTCTATTTTGAAGAAGTAGCATTAGAAGAAGTTTAAAAATTTTGGCTCTCAAAAGAAATTTAAATCTTTCTACTGTTGATAGTTAGGTCTGTTGACTAATGAGTTTGCCGACCACTGGGCTAGGGCTTTTTTTTTTTTTTTTTTTTTTTTGTGAGAGAAGGAGAGAAAAACATTTACCCGTTTTTCCACTTCTTCATGCATTCATTGGTTGGCCCTTGCATATGCCCTCACTGGGGATTGAACCCATAACCATGGCCTATAGGGAAGACAACGCTCTAACCAATTGAGCTACCCAGTCAGGTCTATCTATTTCTTTTTATAATTTCCCAAGTTGGCAAGTTTTCTATTTATTCCAAAATTAAACATCATTTTCCACTTTATCCACTCTATTTTCTCTAAATGAATTCTCTTCACAGCTAAGTCTTCACACCCTCATTTTGCTTTATGTACCTTGTAAGTGTGCATCCATTTGATAACAACTCACATCTCCAATTTTATATTTTTCCAATTTGAGCAGCTTCACATAACTGTTTATTTTCATGATACAATATCTTACCTGCTTCTAAATTATATACTACAAAAATAAACTTATCCTTAAACACAGAAGCCTATCAGAACAAGTGATTTAAAGTCCTACAAACAAACTTCTTCCTTTGTTTCTGATTAGTCAACCATAATGAATAATAACTCCTTGGTGCTTGTGCAAATTTATTCACACATCAACACAACAGATATTTAATACATTTCCATTATGAAAGGTATTGCACTAGGTTCTGTAACCTCATAATCAATTACCTTTGTAATATTTTAAGAAACAACCTGTTGCTTATCTTTATTTCCACCTATTTAGAAATATTAATACATGGCAAGCAACTACAAGTAAAAGTGTGGGAATGGAGCCCTAACTGGTTTGGCTCTGTGGATAGAGCATCGGCCTGTGGACTGAAGGGTCCTGAGTTCGATTCCAATCAAAGGCACATGCCTGGGTTGCGGGATCAATCCCCAATAGGAGGCATACAGAAGACAGTCAATCAATGATTCTCATCATTGATGTTTCTATCTCTATCCCCCTCTCCCTTCCTCTCTGAAATCAATAAAAATTTAAAAAGAAATCTAGAGAAATTAAAATAAATAATTTTAATAACAATAAAAAGTGTGGTAGTGGAAAGGAGCTGCAGACTGGAAGTGATGCTCCAAAGGCTCTACTTCTCTCTACTCTTTTTTTTTTTTTTTTTAATTTATTTATTTATTTATTTATTTACATATTTTAATGATTTTTTTTTGCCCCCCTCCCTCCCTCCCCCATATCCCCTCCCTCCCCATAGTTTTATGTCCATTGGTTGTACTTATATGCATGTATACAAGTCCTTCGGTTGATCTATTATCTCCCCCAGATCCTCCTCCCCTCCCCGCTGTAATTTGACAATCTGCTTGTTGCTTTACTGTCTCTATATCTATCTTTTGGTTCATCAGTTTATAATGCTCTTTATTATCCACAAATGAGTGAGGTCATGTGGTGTTTCTCTACTTCTCTCTACTCTTGAGAGTCAGTACAGACTAAGGGAGAAGACAGAAAAGAGGGGCCTGGAGAATGTCTATCCCTCAAAGTAGTTTTAAGCTTCCCAATGATAGCACAAGAACTCAGTTTTCTAGTTCCCCTTAAACTATCTACCAAGCAAAATCAATTACTAATATCTATTGCCATTCACGACACTGAAATATCTTGGAATAATAAGTCCCAGATTAGAGATTTTTCTGTTTTTTTAGATAGTTATCACATGCCATCTGCTCACACACAGGGAGTTACCAAAAAGCAAAGGAAGCAATTCTTCAGTAACATAGGTTTCAAGCGATATTCTATTTGTATAACAAAAATTTGAAATCTGCTATTTAAAATATACTTATACATGGTTCAGTTGTATACCTTAAATTTAAAAAGGCTAAAATGATGATTGGTTTGCCTTTCCACAGATATGTGGGTGGATCAGGAATACAGTGAAAACAAAACACTATTCATGCTATCTTCTCTCAATAGACAAAAGACCAGATCCAAAAAAGGAATTATTTATTATCATAACAAAAATAACTTTGTTTTCTGATTTAGAAAAAATTCACTTTACTAAAAAGGAAAAAATTCTAAAATGTAACCTTTGGCCCCATAATTACTTATAAAAAGATGAGACAAGCATATAAACAATTTCCTAAGATTTGTGAAAAAGGAACACAGAGATCACAACTTCAAAATAATTTTTCATTTCAAGTTAATAGGAGTGTCTTAGAGAGAGAGGAAGAGAGCAAGCAAGAGCAAGAAAGACATCAATTTATTGTTTCACATATTTATGCATTCATTGTTTAACTCATATGTGCCCTGATCAAGGACTGAACCCACAACCTGGTGTATCAGGAAATGCTCTAACAAACTGAGCTAACTAGGCCTATCTTAGTATTTTTAAAAGAAATATAGTTTGTATAAATAGATAAGAGAGACAATCTGAATTAGCAATATTGCCTGAATAAAGATTAGAGAGACGGATTATGAAAGAGATTCTTAATGTTGATAAGACAGACTTGTTTTATAAGAGGAAAGCATATAGACTTATATTTATACAGGAAAATTATATTTAATTCTATTTCTAGTGTTTTCCAACTCTAATTTCCTTTTTTTACTTTGCAAAAGTAATCTATATTCATGCTAACAATTCAAACAGGCATAAACATAAATCCTAACAACCTTGGATAAATATCTATACTTACAGATTTGAGGAAGTAGCATGGCTGAAAAGGACATCCACCAGAGGAGCCTCCTGAATGCTAGAGCCATCATCAAACTCACCTGAGGAGGGCCGGTCTTCCATCTCTGACACATACCCTTCGCCCTGATCCTCCTCTTTGGATTCTTGCTGAACCTCTCCCTAGAAGTGCCAGGAAACAATGGAAACTTTAGAAAAAAAAAATTATTATCTGCAAGGTAATTTTAGTTAATTTATTTTTATTACTGAGAGAGAGATTTATTATTCCACTTATTTATGCATTCATTGGTTGTTTCTTGTATGTGCCCTGACCAGGGATTGAAACACACTACCTTGGAGTACTAGGTTAGTGCTCTAACCAACTGAGCTATAGGTTCAGGGCCTCTGCAAGATAATTTTACATGCATGGAGTAAATGAAAGCTGATTTTAAGGTGAGAAGAGGCCATTTATATAAAGCTATAAAAGAAATTAGGGAAATATGACTTAACTAGACCTAAGTCAATTAATTCTTGTTAACATTCTTGCTGGAGAACTTTGTACTCCCAAGAAAAAAATGAAAAAGCAATATGTTCAATTCTAGATGGATGCTGTATCCTTTTGTTTATTTACTAGAGGCCGTTGCACCCGTGGGGTCCTTCAGCCTGGCCTCCGGGGATCCAGCCGAAACCAGCAGTCCAACATCCCCCTAGGGACGTAGTAGTGTGAGAAGCAGCAGGTGACTGGGGAGGAGCCTGAGCCCTAGCTGAGCACAGTGCTGCTGGGCTCGCTGCCGCTCTGCTCTGGTCTCTGCACATTCATCCTAGGGTAATATTGGTGTGCCCATGAAGGAGAAGCAGCAGCGGGCTCATGCCCAGTAAGTCCTGTTCCACGACCTGGTCCAGATGGGGGAGGGGCCCGCAACGGGAGCAAGAGAGGCTCCTCCACCGCAGCTGCGCTCACCAACTAGCCAGTCAGCCAGCCAGCTAGCCGTGAGCCCAGCATCTGACACCTATAGGTCAGCTGAGCAACGCTCCCACTGTGGAAGCGCACTGACCACCAGGGGGCAGCTTCTGCATTGAGCGTCTGCCCCCTGGTGGTCAGTGTGCATCATAGCGAGTGGTTGAAAGGTTGCTTAGGCTTTTATATATAGATTTAGTTAGTTAGTTAATCCTCACCTGAGGATATTTTTTCCATTGATTTTTAGAGAGAGTGGAAGGGAGGGGTACAGACACAGAGAAACATCAATCTGAGCGACATTGATTGGTTGCCTTCTGCATGTGCTCCAACCAGGGCCAGGTATTGAACCTGCAACCAATGTACATGCCCTTGACCAGATTCAAGCCTGCGACTGTGATACTCTAACCACTGAGCAAACTGGCTAGGGCGAATGCTATATCTTTTTAAAATTTTCATCATTTTTGTGGTTCTGGAGCTAACTAGTCTAACTGATCACATAATATTTAATATTATATTATAAATTCTGAATTTTACTGATTACTTACTATGAACTAGGCCCTATGCTAAGTTTTCCCCACGAATTATCATTTAACCTCACAACAAAACTATAAGAGAAAGAACTAATTCCAGATACAGCAGAGAAAACTGAGGTTCTAAAATGTTCACTAACATACTTAAGGTCCCATAGCTAATTGATGCTAAACCAAGATTTGGACTCAGGTAGTTGAACTCTAGAGCTACCTATGTGCTTTACCACTCTGCTCTGCCTCCTGTGCAGAGGACTAGACAGCTGGTTTAAGTTATTCACTTACCTCTTTATTCTCTGTTGGTAGTCCCAAAACTGCACAAATATCTGAGGGAGCTGGAGCCACTTCTGGCCTTCCATGTTCTCCCAGTGACTCCTCAGCTACCAATGGTTCTACCTTAGCTGAAAGCTCTTCAGGCTCTCTGCAGGGCTCCTCATCTCCTTCAGTAGCTTCAATTTCCCTTTCCTCTTGTCTGGTATCAGGTGAAGGGCAGCAACCTTCACTTGATTCTTTGCTGCTAATGCACAATGGCTCCATTAAATAAGCTACCTGCAATCATAGTCTATTGTTAGATTAGAAACACCAATGGAAATCATCTACATATCAATAATGTCACATGATTACACTGCCACTGTGTCTAAGCCTGAGGTGGCAAATATATTAACTTTTTTGACCATTTAAAATTCATTAAATGTCTTATACTAGAGGCCCGGTGCACAAATCCGTGCACCCATGGGGCCCCTCGGCCTGGCCTGTGGGTTCGGGCCGAAACCAGCTCTCTGACATCCCTAGAGGGGTCCTGGATTGTGAGAGGGTGCAGGCCAGGCCGAGGGATCCCACTAGTGCACCATCAGAGCTGGGGAGGGACACGGGAAGTTGGCCAGCAGGGGAGGGACTGTGGGAGGGCTTCAGGGCATCCTGCCCATCCTGCTCAGTCTCCATCAGCCAGAACCCAGCAGCAAGCTAATCTACTGGTCGAAGCATCTTCCCCCTGGTGGTCAGTACACATCATAACAAGCAGTTGAGCAGCCTTAGCAAATCATTAGCATTTTATGCTTTGATTGAACAACCGACCAGTCAACCGGACACAGCATATTAGGTTTTTATTATAATAGGATACACTGGCACTGTACTAGTTGGTAAGGACCTAATAATAAACAAGATATTGGCCTTGCCTCAAAGAGCTTATATTATACATTTTCATCTCAAGTGTCAATTCTGATCAATTGGGACTGGCTACCAAACTGCTGAAAATTTTGTCTGCCAAAACAGAAGTGGCAACATTTGAACTGGATTCTTGCTGATCTTCACCTATATTATCCTGACTGTGTGTGTGGTTGCTGCATAAATATAAACTGTCAAATTCTGTTTATTTCTGATCCTCAGACCTAGCATAATAAAATACTGTAAAATATTGCCTTTAACATCATACATTATAAGCTTTAAGGTGAGTTTGGGCAAGAATCACTTCTCATGACTGAAAGAATGAATTGCAAGGATACTCTTATAGGGTAGTCCTACATACAGAAATTTCATTTCCTTTGACTCAGGATCCCAATAACTGGATTTTAGAATATTCAGCTTAAAAGTACACATTTGAAGCACATTTTGTGTTAGTACCAAGTGCTGAAGACACAGCAATGAACTTAGTCCCTGTGGAGCTTATATTTCAGTAAATAATATTAAGAGTGGTAAAAATATATATGGGTAAGCATTCTCTTACTAGCAGGCGTCTTCAAACTACGGCCCGCGGGCCACATGCGGCCCGCAGAGGAGTCTGATCTGGCCCGCCAGGTTTTTTGGGCAGTGAGCGCAGCCGAGGTGTTACAGTAGGAATTAGTAGTTCATATAGTCCGGCCCTCCAGCTCTCTGAGGGACCGTGATCTGGCCCCCACTTTAAAAAGTTTGAGGACCCCTGTTTAGAGTTAAGTCTCTTCCAACTTTGAAAATAACGACTCCCCATTACCTCAGAGAGAAAGTGTAGGAGGTTCTGGTGGCTGATTTGCTCTGTCTCTTCCTGAGATTCCTCACTGCCTCCGTCCCCCATAAGCAGCTCACTAGATTCTGTCCCTGGGCTGCTTTCCACTAATTCCTCAGACCCTGGCTCCTCAGTTTCCCTCCATCTGCCCACATCAAGATCCAGACTGGAGTCCCACGAGCTGAAGAGGGACCTGCAGTTGTTGCTCAACTCAGAGTCATTGGGATAGTCTTGTTCAGAATCCAACCAAACCCATTCACGCCCCATCTGTAAATACACAGAAAAAAAAATGCATTAAATTCACTCAGATCAATATTCCTAAGGCATTTGCATCTCATCTCCCAAGTTCAATAGAAAGATAAGGGGACATAAATGTATTTCTACTCATTAATAACAATAAAAGATAGCTGAAATGAGATACCAGGAGACAAAATGATCTGTCATTGGGAATAAAGAAAAAGTCCCATGTCAAACAGTAAAATAAAGATATTACCCGGTAAGTTTTTTTTTTTCTTGGACTTCCTCCTAACTTCAAAACAAAAAGAACTGGAGCATAAGTACTGCATAGGAAATATAGTCAACAATATTGCAATAAATATGTATGGTGCCAGGTGGGTCACAGAAGTATCAGGGGTAACACTTTACCAAGTATCTAACTACTATAGTGTATCTAACTACTATAGTGTATCTAATTACTATAGTGTATCTAACTACTATTAGTTTCAGGTACACCTGAAACTAATACAAAATAATATTGATTGTACACTATAATTGAAAAACATAAAAAATAAAGTAGGCCATAGTTAGCTGAATGAAGTTCCTCTATTCGAAATCATTCTTAAAATCAACTGCAAGGCAATAAATAAGAGAGATTAGTGATATTTTCCTCAGTGTATAGGTATGAAACTATCAACCGTTAAATCCTCAAAAATACATTTTAAGATTACCCATTATATCCAATTCTCACTTTTCAGAATGAAAATTGCAACATCAAGTTTTAAAAATATCTTCCTTTCATTACACTATCCCAGTGGTTGGCAAATTCATTAGTCAACAGAGTGGCAAACGAGCCACAATTTGCCAACCACTGCACTATATTGATTTTCCTACCCCTTTGTTCTCTCCTTTTACAACTACTACTTTCAACAAATCCTTATCAATGTTCTTGCGTGGTCCTCTACTTCCTCATTGATACATACTTAAAAAAAAAATATATATATATATATATATATATATATATATATATGTATATGTCTATCTATATGTGTATATATATATATATATATATATATATATATATATATATGCACACACACACATACTTTGAGGTTTCAATTTTTATATCTTTTCAGGTGGCTCCCAAATCTCTGTCTTTTAACTTCTTATGTGCATTCTGGTCTCATTTCTCTCTGTACCCAAAAGTCAATTCCTTTTTGGTGCTCTATCATCTGCTTCAACTCAACATTTCAAAAACTTGGATCACATCTCTTTCTGATTATCTCCAAAATCATTTACTCTCACCAATTTCCTTATCCCCATCAATACTATTTCTTGATCCTGTTTTAACTCATCTCCTGCATTTGGTAAGCAAGTCCACTTCCCAGTTTTCTTCCATTTTTCTCAATCCCCATTCTTTGCTCCTCAATGCTATAGCCCCTTGATCAATTTCTCTATCTTTAATCCAATCTGCTCTCAACGTCTCCCTGTGCAAGGCTTTACAACAGCTATTCCCTCAATATAAATTTCTCAATCTGCCACTCGGAAGAACTCCATAAATCAAACCCTACTTCATTATTCCTTAAGATGATCCCTGTTCTAATTACGTCTCCCTATTGCCCCCACCATAGATACCTACACCTTTAACCTGGATTGCTAAACTTATTCATCACCTTCTCTACCAATCCAAATCTGTTCTTTTAATGGTTCTCCTTGTCCATACTTCTCCAACTGTAAAGGCTTCACTGCTTATTTACATGCACATTTGTGCATTGCTTTGGTGGTACATTGCAGTTATTTTCCTGGGCTCATTAAACTCCTTTCCATCACCTCATAAAGACTGTATTCTTTTAGCTTGTTAGCATCCTAACAAACTTTAAAAAAATAAAGATCTGGCCTGGCCAGCATGGCTCAGTGGTTGAGCAGCAACCTATGAACCAGAAAATAATTGGATTCACAGTCAGGGAACATGCTTGGGTTGTAGGCTTGATCCCCAATGTGGGGCATGCAGGAGGCAGCCGATCAATGACTTTCTCATTGATGTTTCTCTCATATATATATAATTATATGGCCCTGACCAGTTTGGCTCATTGGATAGTGTCAGCCTGCAGACTGAAGAGTCCCAGGTTCTATTCCGGTCAAGGGTATGTACTTTGCGGGAACATCCCCGGTAGGGGGTATGCAGGAGGCAGCCCATTGAAGTCTTTCATCCGATGATTCTGGCTCTCTATCCCTCCCCCTTCCTCTCTGTAAAAAAATCAATAAAATAACATGTGCACATGTGTGTGTGTACACACACACACAAATTCTGACTTCTAATCATTTTTGTTGTTAATCCTCAATTTACTTTTAGAAAGAGTGGGAGGGGGAGAAACAGAAACATGGATGTGAGAGAAACACATCAATTGGTTGCCTCCAGCACAAGCTTTGGGGCAAGGGATCAAGCCTGCTACAACGGAGGTACGTGCCCTTGACTGAAATGAACCTTCAGTCCTTGGGCTGACACTCTAGCCACTGTGCCAAACCAGCTAGGGCCTCATCATCTTTCCTATACCGACCTTTCTCAAGAAGGCTCAAAGTATGAAGCAATACCCTATTAATCTCCATGTCTTTATAATAAAAGGTTATAACTACTTTCCACTGAGTTAATTTTTATGTATTGTAGTAAGTTAGAATAAGCTCAAGTGATGTGGTAACTCTTAAACTCAGTTTAGCCTTCAAATAACATATTATGAATCTAAAACACATAAGAACCCCATATATGGAAATAGATAAGGAAACAGTAATATACTATCCTAGAAATACCATCTGCATAGTATTATGTATAAATGAACAAAATAAAGGTCAGCACTACCGATACATCTATGCTCAAATCTAGGACAATGACACAAACAAAACTTTTAAAACCTTTCAGTTTTCCCCAGCATTCAAGGGGAAATGAGTCCTTATTGTACAACACAACACTTTAAAACAGCTGTCGACACTCAGTGGTCCTCGAGGTCCGAAAGGTTGGCAACGGCTGGTTTAAGAAACCTTTGGAGCAGTGGTTGCCAACCAGTGATCTCTGGACCACTGGTGGTCCGTAAGGTCCGGAAAAATTGGTGATTGCTGCTCTAAAACATTACAAATTAAATCTTGGTTATTTACCTTCTCTGAGTTGTAACAGAGTAATTCATTTTATAAGACCACGTTCCCTCTCTAACAAATGACGAAATAGTTATCATGCAGAAGAAATCACAGGTTTCATACACACACAAGAACACACCAAAGACGAGTTTTCTTTCAGAGTTTATTTTGAACACAAACACTTCACAGATTTTTTTAAAAGTCTGTACACTTCACAAGACAGTACAAATTAGCTACTATCTGTTAGTTACACATTAGGACATTAACACAGCCCATGATTTTTGCCCTAAAACAGGCAATTATGCTACTCCAACTCTCTGAGATTTTCCCAGATCATGTCACACGGCCCAGGAGCCTCCTCTTCTGTATCTCCCACTTCTGGAACTGGGCCCACAAGCCCAAACTTTAACTTGTTTATTTCTTTTCAGGTTCAGCACAATGAGGGTACTCTGAGACTTCACTTTTTCATCTTCATATCTGCTTCAATGGCACAGCGGCGCCCCCTGGTGCCACCATCCTAAATAACAGGCAGACAAAGAAAGGGAGCATGAGTGAGTTGGTTAAAAAATAAAGGAAAGAACAAGAATGCTGGGGATTTGATTTCTTAAGGGAGAGGGGAATTAGCAGAAAAATCCAGGAAATGAGGGACATAATATGTCTTCCCATAGTGTGTAGTAAAAATCACCTGGTAGTACTTTGTAAGAGAATATGTAGTACAGAGTATCTTGCTCCTGCCCACCAGAGGTTGCTGGAGTTCATCTGGGGCCCACAAAATGACTATTTGTCATCCCTCCGCAGCCCCCAAATTATGTGCAAAGGAACAGGAAGAGTAAAAGGTGGGAGAGTCAGAAAGGGCAGTGGATAGTGAGATTCTTAGCTAACATACCTGTCCAGCTGTTTGTTGGTCCCTAAAGAAAGGCCTTTCCTGCAGACTGACCCTGGCACTAGTTCCCTAGCACCACCTGACAGTTGTTTTCCATGAGATCAGGACAATCAGAAGGCTTCTTTCCATCTGCTGCTCTCTCCCTGCAGCCCAGATCCTTCCTCTTGTGCAATACATTGCTGTCTTCAATAGATAAAAGATCCTATTAACCAGCCTTGTAACAGCCAGCCAATTGCTTGGGATCCAGAGTCACTGTTGCAGGCCAATAAAAAAGAACGGAGATTATAGTGTTCTGTCTGTGGTACAGGCTGAGGCCTGTAGGCAAGATGGATGAACACTTTTGCTTGGCCAGGCCATTTTTACATTTCTAACATTTAAGAACTCAAATATTTAGAGCTCACCAACACAAGTTGCCTTTGAGGCAACAGTAAAAATAAAAATACCATCTTGTATTTGTATAACATTTTAATTTTTTTCAAGCCAGTTCCATACCCCTTATCTCATTTTATCCTCACAACATCCCTGTGAGGTAGGCTGGACAGGTACATCATTATATTAGCTCCAGCAGACAGATGAGGAAAACAAGGCTCCAAGACATAATCCAGTCAATTTAAGATCATGTGGCTTTTCTATCTTGCCTAATGCCCTTTCCATTATATCATGTCTCAGCACCCAAAAATGAATAACAGTCAGAGTCTCCAATTCATGGAGAAAGGAATAGGTCTTTAGTCTAGCTTTCCTAGGCTTATCACTATTTGTACCAGCCACTATTATCTGCAGCAGTCATTGTTACCGAGATCTTTATCTTATATTTTACTGAATGCTTATGTATGTAGGCATCAGTCTTGCAACTTATTATTAGGGGAAAATATAAAAACTGTGTGTTGAGTATCTAGTATGAGGAACGCTTTCAAAAGCCAGCTAGTAGCTGCTTCTCTGAATAATTTTCTATTTGTAAGAAAAGAATTGGCTAAAGGAGTCAGGAAATGAGGAGGAGTACATCCTAGATCCTTACCAATACCTCATTCCAGCCCAGTGAACTCATAAAAAGTCCCTACCCAGCCCACACACACACATGCAGAAAGACAGGAATGCAGAAGAAGAGACAGGTTCTTATTCAATTACCTGAATAAACAGTTCAACACATTGCTACATCTGCATGTTGGCTTTCCCTCTGCCACCCACCCCCAGCGGGAGCAGAGAATCTCTGTGGCACCACCCCTTGCAGCCATTCAATACTTACAAAGAGAGAGAGAAGGAAGGCAGGAGAGCCCATGGGGACACTGTCCTGTTAGAGGACAAACAAACACTGATCAGGTTCCACAGAAACTCTCAGCCATAAGCACCCCAAACCTCAGGACAGAGAAACAAGCACCACACACACAAAGACAAAACTTAAAAACTCAAGAACAAGAAGAAAGAGACCCAAAAGCAATCTAGCCATTATGCCTCTGGAACAGAAACTAATGGTCTGCAATTGTTACAAGCCAAGACATTTCCCACCTTGTGAGCACTCTCAGAAGAATTAGTAATTTGCTCACTCAGCTCACAATTTCTCCCATGTGACTGGGCCTTTCAGTCACAGTAGGTTTCTTGTTTAGATGGAAGCAAACGACCAACATTCTAAGGCTTGTACTAGGTGTACCAGTTAATAATGCGGATTTTGTAATAAAAGAAAACACGGTACTTTTAAGAGAAACATCAAAAGTGCTTTATTCATCCCTGGCTGGCTTGGCTCAATAGATAGAGGGCCTGAGGACTGAAGGATCCCAGGTTCGATTCTGGCCAACGGCACATGCCCAGGTTGTGAGTTCAATCCTAGTGGGGGACATGCAAGAGCCAGCCTATCAATGATTCTCTCTCATCACTGATATTTCTCTCTTCTCCCTTCCTCTTTGAAATCAATAAAGATATATATTTTTTTAAAGTACTTTATTCAAAGTAATGTCCATCGCTAGCTACACATTTCCCCCCATCTTTCAGGTAATTTGTGAATACCATCCCAATAGAACTTTTCTTGTTTTGAGGCAAACCATTCAGAGACCCAATTTTCCACTTCTTCGTACATTTTGAAGAGCTGCTCAGAAAGTATGTGTGCCATTGATCGGAACAAGTGGTAATGTGAAGGAGCGAGGTCTGGTGAATACGGCGGGTGGGTTAACACTTCCCAGGCAAGATCTTTTAACGTGTCTTTAACGGGTTTTGAAGTGTGTGATGGTGCATCATCATGAAGGAAAATTACTTTGCCGTATATTCTGGCACATTCTGGTCGTTTCACGATCAAAGCATGGTTCAAATTGATTATTTGTTGTTGGTAGCAATCAGTATTAACAGTATCATCTGGTTTTAGAAGCTCATAATACACCACACCTTCCTGATCCCAGCAAACGCAGAGCATTGTCTTCTTTCCAAAGTGATTTGGCCTTGCAATTGATGTTGATGGTTGAACTGGATCAACCCATGATTTTGTGCATTTGGGATTCTCAAAATAAATCCACTTTTCATTGCCAGTCACAATTCAATGCAAAAAAGACTTTCTTTCATGCCGTTGAAGCAAATTTTACTGATGACTTTTCGGTTTTCCATTTGTCTTTCTTTCAGTTGATGTGGCACCCATCTTCCTTCTTTTAAAATCTTTCCCATTGAAAAATGGAACATGTTCACCATAAGCTTCCTGAAGTACAGGATAACTTTCAGCAGCACTTTTCTTCAAAATAAAGTAATGAATTAAAACTTCCCACAAATGCTCTTTTTTTGGCACGAAATTCGACATTTTTAAACGTAAAAATATGGATGATGTTAACACCTTCAGCAAATTTGACTTATGAAGTTTTGAAGCTTGCTGTCAATACAACAAAATAGCATAGATATCAACATATGTGGAAATCCATCTATTGAAAAAAATCCGCATTATTAACCGGTATACCTAGTATGTACACCACTGGAATACTGAAGCCCAACAATACCAAGCTGTAACCTAAAGTTCTTTGGATGCTTCAGACTTCTAGCACTGGAACAATGGCAAACAGGCTCTTTCTTGGTCTCCTCACCTTCTCTGAAGCATCCTGTTTGCGGGTAGAATCTCTTCCTCGAAGACTTTTAGCACTGATCCCAGACTCAGATGTTTGCATAATCAACTGTGTGGCCAGGAATTGCTGTAGGGAGAAGAAACACAGTTGGCCCTAGAGACCAGATCCAGTAGGGAAGAATTAAAGATACCTTAGGCTTTGTAAATATAGTACCCTTTTGCAATCAGCATTCAAATACTTCTAGAAATTTAAAACACTCACTTTTAATTTTCGTTGTACATTTAAGAATCTAAAAATGCCAAATGGCTCTTTTTTTTTTTGGCTATAACATAGGATTGAAATTTCTATTCTCTAAGAAAGAATAAAACTAGATGAACCAAAGACTACCAAGTAATTTAAGTAATTTGGCAGACTCTGCAGAGATAGACCACATCCCTTCAAGTTTAATATCCCAAAAGGTGCCTGGCAATGCATTTATAGGTTAGAAATAAGTTTCTAGCCGGGACAGGTTTAGCTCAATGGATAGAGCGTCGGCTTGGGGACTGAAAGGACCCGGGTTCGATTCCGGTCAAGGGCATGTACCTTGGTTGCGTGCATATCCCCAGTAGGGGGTGTGCGGGAGGCAACTGATCGATGACTCTCTCTCATCGATGTTTCTAACTCTCTATCTCTCTCCCTTCCTCTCTGTACAAAATCAATAAAAATATATTTAAAAAAAGAAAAAAAGAAAAAGAAAAAAAAAGAAATAAGTTTCTATTTGTTGATTGTCTACTATAGTTATACTTAATGTAATACAAAATATACGTTAATCATTTTATAAGTATTTTATATTAAAATTTCAGGAAATTTGCCCAAGAAAGATGACTATTCTCTCACAACTCATTTACCATGCCAACATGAAAAAAGTAACATGAGCCCAGCAGACATGGCTCAGTAGTTGAACATCAACCTATGAACCAGAAGGTCACAGTTCGATTCCTGCTCAGGGCATATGCCCAGGTTGTGGGCTTGATCCCCAGTGTGGGGCGTGCAGAAGGCAGCTGGATCCATGATTCTCTCTCATCATTGATGTTTCTATCTATCTTTCCTTCTCCTTTCCACTCTGAAAACAATAAAAATATATTTAACATGAATCCAGCAAAAATAAAATTTCATATTCCTGTGTTTCTGCCTAATGCTATTCCAAGTAAAAGCCACCCTTTTCCTGACATCAATGTGAATCATTCCCTTGAGTATTTTCATTTCATCCATGCTCAAAAACTGAGGATCCTACAAAGTACCTGGATCTGCTCCAAAACATCTCGCTGCATCTCTACTGCCATGTGATAGACATCGTGATCCGAGCTATTATACATTACAGCATTCTGGAACATCAACATAATGTCACGCTGGAATTCAGCTGTGCTGCGGATCAGTCCATTTTCAATGTTTTTCTTAATTGTTGACAAATCCATTGGCCTGAAAAAGAACAACAGGTAAATTCATGAGCGGGGAAGAGGACTCAACTGGATCCCTGAATATATTATTACCATTTAGATCTTCTCACACATCCTGCTAATCCCAGCTGCCAGGACTTGGAACACTAAACCCTCACCCTGAAACATGTACTGAACCCAAAAACAAAAATCAGCCTGTATAATAAATACTGAGAAAGAATATAGAAGGGGTTAATTCTTTTAGACTATCATTGGTGATCCAGCTGCTGAAATAATCAGTTTAGCAGTTGGTCACCTTTACTCACATCAAAAACATTTGCTTTAAACTTACCGTCTAAAGCAAAAATCAACTAAGACTGAACAACTTACAATCCAGCGAAGTTGCCATGCTGAATTGATTATGGCTTACCTCTGCACGATGCTGTGGTAGCCAGGTGCTATGTCATCTGTAACAGGCTGCAGAAACACATTGGCATATCTGTCCAAAGAGAATAAGGTGCAATTACTGGCTTGTCCCCCAAAGCAGAGGTGAGAGAACCTAAGTAGCTGAAGGTTGTTAAGAGCCAATGCCTCTAGCCTCAAATAAGCCTACTCAAATATTCTTCTAGTCACCAACGAGAGGAGAAAGTATTCTTACTAACTGGTAAAGCCCCTACTCACCTATGATTAGCTGCAGCTCTCCATACAAGCATGATGGCTTTCTTCCAGATTTTCTGTGCTTGAATAGCTTCCTGATCCTCACTACAGACAGAGCTAAAATAAAAAAATACAGAAGTTCCACTAGGCATAAGTTTAAAAAAAAAAGTCCTAATTATTTCTTGTCAACTACAGGCATACCTTATTTTACTGTGCTTTGCTTTACTGAGCTTGAAAGATGTTACGTTTTTTTTACAAATTGAAGGCAAAACCCTCCACCAGCAAAAAGATTATGACTCACTTTATTGTGATACTCAGTTTATTGTGGTGGTCGGGAAACAAAACCAAAGTATCCCCAAGGTATGCCTGTATTTACTCCAAGTCAAGAAAGGGAAGATGAAAAAGTAAGATTAAAGAAAAGATCCTCTCCTACTTCTGACCTTCACTGCCTTGACCTCAAAGGAAGAATCTTAGATACTCACAACTGTGAAGAAGCAGGACTGCTGGGGATGGAGTCCGCCAGTGTGTGGGACTGCAGAGTAGCATTGTGTATACTAAAGCCATCATCACTCTCGCTCACAGGGGGTTCGTTATCCATTTCTGACAAGTAGCCTTCTCCTTGATCTTCTTCCTTAGGCTCCTCTAGACTCGCTGCTTCACTGACTCCATCTTCCTCCTCATCCTCACCTGGGGCATCCTTAGACACAGTGTGCTCCAGTTAGCAAATGTAAGCAAAGTCATTATGCAAGGTGTTATTAAACATAATCTGCCTTTTGGGTTAGATCAGTTCTAGAAAATGACCTCACACTGTTTCCTCACTAAGCCCTCTACCATTTATCCTACCATCCACTTAAAGACACTGAGTGATCAAGTAATTTAGAGCCTGGATAAAGCCAGGATCTTTTTAAAAGGAAGAAACAAAAAAAGCTACTTACTTAAGACTAAGCTAAGAGGCGTTCCTTCTTTCCCCTTGCTCTTGAGAGGAACTCTGACCCTGGGTACAAAGTTATCAAAAATAGCTTTTATTTTGTGTCTTATCTGATGGAGCAAGAACTCATCGCTTTATTTGAGTCTTTTAATACTACTTCAGTAATTCTAAAAAAATGATTTCCTCTTAATAGTGTAACTAATAACTTAATTTCTTATATGTTCTCCCTATCTCTAATATCCCTATTCATTTGATACATCACTCTGAATATATCAAAGCTTCTTTGTGCACTATATGCAAAGAAAGGTCTGTATGATATTCCTAAATTTTCAGATGGGAAGCACATGTTGCCATAATATTCCCACTACACCTAACTGTCCACTGCAGCTCTTTCCCATGCAACTCCTAAACCAGTCTCATCTCAGAGAATAAAGATGGGAATTTATGGAAATTTGTTAAAAATGTAGTGCTATAGGAAAATCTAGTCACACACCAATAGGAATAAAGAAAAGTCTGAAATACCTTTATCTGGCTTCCAAAAATAGTCCCTGATTCTTCTTTCAATGAGTCTGCAGAGGAGAGAAAGACTACCTGAAGAGTTTTCCACCTTAGCCTTCCCCTTCCTATGGACAATAATCCCCTGCTGCTCTCCTTTGCATGCTGACCTATTCTATCTCCTCTACCTGCCCACAACCCACAATCCCTCAGAAGCTAAAGCAAAAAGATTTCAAGTTAATTACAGATTACAGATTTTCTGGCCTTATTATTTACCTGACATTTCAAATTTGTGCTGAGTTTCTGCCTCTAAAGGATCTTCCATGGGATTTGAGCCATGTGATGGAGATAGCATGCTCCCTGGGGATGCCTAAAGACCAAAAACAACAAACACCCTAAGTACTGGTAAATCACTACAGCTTACACACTTTTATTCTTCAATGATAATGTGACTATATAAGCAATTCGAAGTCCTATCCATGTAATTAGATTCTAATATATTTAATAGATATAAGTATATGTATGTATAGCACTGATCACACTTATACACTTTAGACACATCAAACATGTTAAAATTCAGGAATGCAACAACAACAAAAAAAACCCATAGAGGCCTAAACTTTCACTTCTTACCTAAGGTATAACCCTCCACCCTCCCAGGCTCTTATAGTAAATACCTCTGTCTTTACAGTTGTAAGTGCAGTCTCATCGCTTTTCCCACTGGCAACATCTACTTCAGCAATCTCTCCAGCTGCAGTACTTCTGGGTTCCTCATCTAAGTCCTGATTCCTGAGTTCTGGTGGCTCCATACATGTGGCTGGAGCAACCCCAGTGACTATTTCAGCTCCTGAAATGCCTTGCTCTGGTTCTGTAGGTTCCATTTTGATCTCAACACCAGGTTCTCTGATGTCTACCAGTTCATGGATTCCTTTGTTTTCTGATTCCTCAAAGTCCAGCCTCTCTTGCTTGACTGTCAATTCTGGTGCAGAAAGAGGTACTGGCTTGTCCCGTTCCTGCTGCACAGGGTGCTCCCAGGGGCCAGGCAGAGACCGAGGATCATCATTGTCTTCACAGAACGACAATGCTGCTTCCACTGCTGCCACATCCAGCACTTCAGGATGATCATCTACCTGTCCCATAAAACATACATGCTGAAGTCACAGAAGCCCAATTACCTCAATTCTGTAAGCACTGAAGAAGATGGCCTGAATCTGCAGCTTCTCTCTCTATTTTCAACATGTATTAGAAGCAATCATGGACAGGCATCTGTCATGTGCAAATCAATAACATAGGGATGGCTCAGGAGATAACTAGTACATCAGCACCAAAGGGCTTTGGGACTACAGAGATGGAAGTGGGCAGAGGCATGAAAATTGTTTATGTAATTGTTACTATGAGAAGCAAGGAGAGGCTAAGGAGAGAAGCCTATGTATGACCCATGAGAGATTCTTTTGGGTGTTGCTGAATAGTTACCTTGTCCTCAATGATAGCAATGATGTCTCCAACAGTCTCAAAATCAAGCTCTTCACCTGTGTAAGACACAGCTATATCCATCTTCTCAGCCAGATCTAAATCTTCCTTCCCATCTATGCTGGGAGCCTTTGATCCTCCAGAAGCCTCTGCTACCCCTGATCGGAAACACTCCTCTTTGATAGAATTGATAATCATGGAGATTTCACTGCTATCCATGGAAACAGTCACAGTATGTGGATCCCCCACAGCCTCCATGGGAACACAAGTATCAGGCTGACTCACTGAATAACAGGAAGAGAAAAGTATCTCAGAAATTTATTTAGAACCAAACAACTACATGGAGATCACATCAAGGATGTAGACAGATGGCAAGTCCCCATACACTAAAGCTTAGAAAAAGTTCTTATATCTGCCTGTTTTCTTCTCCCAGTTTATCTAGAACACATGTGTCAAACACAAGGCCCGCGGGCCAAATCCGTCCCGCCAGGCCTTGCAATGTGGCCCACACCGCGCTGTCATCACTGCACTCCGCTGCGTTTCCATCAGAATGACAGTTTATGACTGTTGAGTAAACCATTCGGCCCGCGATTTAGGCTGGATTTTAGATTTTGGCCCCTTCTCTGATTGAGTTCGACACCCCTAATCCAGAAAGTAAGGTGAGAACATATTCTCAACGCCACTCCTATGTGTACATTTGGCCTTTTCCCCAACACATAAATGCCCACCCACCTCTTCTCATATCCTTGTTTTTCTAAGTATAAAGATGACAAATGTCCACGGGGAACAGAACAGAGGCATGTGAATTAGAGCTAATGCTCTTGATCACCTCTAACTGACATTTTGGACCTAGCAGCTGCTCAGGGCGTGGGTCAGGGACGCACCTGGAGCTACACTCTCAGGAGTGGAGACAGCCGGAGCAGAGGATGGTGCTGGTAGCGCAGGCATCATGACAATGGTAGCCTGGGACACAGACTCTACAGGGGGTGGCACAAGTTTAACTGGAGGCTCACTGGCAACAGTAGTGAAGGAAGCAAGAGGTGTGGTGAACTGTGTAGGACCAGCTTCTAAAAGCCGGGAAAGAGTGGGAGCACCTAACAGACAAAGAGGTACACAAAATGAGGTAAGAAAGAAGAACATAAATAAGAAGCAATGGCCACTTTAAGACACAACCAAGAAAATTTTAATCTCAAAGGATGAAAGCAATTCCTGTTGAATAAACTCATTACCTATAACTTTACTTTCTCTAATTTTACTTAATATCTTATACCAGTGGTTGGCAAACTGCAGTTCGCAAGCCACATGCGGCTCTTTGGCCCCGTGTGGCTCTTCCACAAAATACCATGTGTAGGCTCACACATACTGTGCGAATGAAACTTCATAGCCCATGCACAGAAGTCGGTTTTCGGCTCTCAAAAGAAATTTCAATCGTTGTACTGTTGATATTTGGCCCTGTTGACTGAATTTGCCAACCACTGTCTTATACTAAGATAGGAATGACCCAAAGCACTAGAAGTCACAATGTATATAAAAATTGGATGGTAATTTTTCCTCAGAAAAAAAATTAAACATAACAAAAACTGGTCTGAATAAATGTCACTCTGCTAAAGTGTGTCATAAACCAACCAAAATCAAATGCCAATGTTTGTTTGGTATTTTGTAAAGGGCTTTTTTTTGCCTTACATTTAATTCTCACTACATTTTTGCAAAGTATAAACACTGCAATTAATAAAAGAGAAAACTGAGGCTCAAGAGTTAAGTTTCTTAGCCAAAGTCACAAAACCAGAGTGTGGTAGGCCTGAGACTCAAGTCCAATTCCCTGAATCTAAATCTCAATCCTCTACTCTATAAACTCAGGTATCTTGATTTGCAAGCCCCAGAGAAGCAGCTTCACTATTAATTTCTCTAGTCCTCTAATATCTATGCTGTGATCACCCAGGGCTATCAATATTTTGAAGATGAAATGGATTTAAAATCTGGGACACTACAGGATTTAACAAGTTAAATAGTTCCAAGGTTGGACTTTAAATCTAGGATTAACAATTGCTTAGTAACAAAGGCTAGAAACCAAGGACTATCAATGCCAAGTTCAATATCTCTAAAGTAAAATGAGTAATGGAAAAGTGATGACTTACCTGAGGCAGCAGGGGAAGCTGCAACAGTGTTAGATGTTTGCTGCAAATCCCCACCATGTATCATGGGAAGGACCCCGCCTACCTCCAGGAGGACACCTGTACTGTTCAGGTGGCCAGAAGCCACAGCCATTTCACTCTCATTGACCTATCAGGGAAGAATAGAGGTGAAGGCTACACTCAAGCTTTCCTTTACTACCACTTCCCAAAAAAGCTCCAGCAGTTGACCAAACTTTACAAAAATAAAAGTTAATATCCAAAGAGAGTAATTTCAGGCCCAAGGGAAACTCTTAATTTTGTAACAAGAGTTCTCTGGAGAAGAGAACCAAAATAATTATGGTTTCAAATACCTCAGGATCCAAGAATACTATCAACTTATTGTGTTGGATTTTTTTTAAAATTAATTAACATTTAGGAGATTTTTTCCTCTTTTGAATCTTTTTTTCCATGTCATATTTTAGGTCCCAGGCACTCCCTTCCAAAATGTTAAATCACCACAGCTCTCAAACACCCACAGAAGTCTCCATACCAGTCTGGGGCTAGTAGGCAGGAGGCTGCCCTTCTTCAAGAGCTCTGACAGCAGAGGGGAGGGGGGTGGAGTTGCTTTCTGTCCAAGCATCTTTTTCTGGGGTGAATCATCTGTTACTGGGGTCATGGGGGCTTCTAAGGGTGCAGAGCCTGGAGGAAGGGTGTCAGGAATCCCAGGAAACGAGGTGACTGGGGTACTCGGCAAAGTCCCAGGGGTTACCTAAGAGACAACAGAGAACCTTTATCTGACTTCTCAAACTCTGAAAGGTTCCCTATTAATCTGGGTGGGTTAGTGTGTCTAACTATTATTGTTTTAGTCCTGAGTGGATCTGCCCAGAAACCCCCTATCCTCCTGCTCTCAGCCATAACTTTCTTCCCCACAATTGTTTCTTTTACATCTACCCATAATGATCCAATCACCCCACCCAACCTACCTTTTATACAAACTTCTTACCCACTATCAATATATTACAAAACAACTGTTCCTTATTTCAGCCTGAATTTCATAGGACTAATACACTTACAAACAATTCCTTGACATAGTCTTTTACCTATCTCTCAAAAGTTCAAAGCCTCAATGTTTTTAGGTCCATCCTTATCTTAAGAGCACAGAGCAAGGTCAAGTCTTTGACATACAGACCAAGAGAGGAAGTTGCCTCCAGGCCAAAAGTGATTTCCTCATCACTCAGCTCTCTGCTGGCTTATTGCCCCTTTGCTGATTAATTCCTGCATATGGAAATATACTCACCCCAGAGGTGGCCTCTTCCATAGTGGTTGCAGTCAAGTCCCCAAGTGGATAATCACTTCCTGGGGAAGCAGAATCTATAGGAGATCGAACCATCACAGTGGGTAACCTCCGAGGGGGTGTTTTTACTGCTTGACGAGCTAGAACATATAAGAGAACAATTTCTAAGTCTTCAAGATTAATTAAGTGAAACTAGACACTTCTTGGCTATTATATAATGAAGGACAAACAGGTATAGTGCATTACTTAAACAACATTGAGTTTGGATTAGAAAGCTTTCTTTTTTGTGTCTGTTATTTTCATTTTCACTATTATGGCCTTTTCACATTTCTAAATCTCAGCTTGATCTATGGATACTTTAGAAAGACATAAAGCAGATAGGAAGGAAAGTATATATTTATTGCACACTTGCACATCAAATTGATGAACATAGTATCATATGTGGTCCTTTCATGAAATTTAAAACTCAGAAATTTTTTTTTCTTTTGGCCTATTCTGAGTAACTGCAGTGTTAAAGTAAGTTTTTGAAAAGACTTCAGTAACACTTCTGGGAAATAAGAAAGTTTATCCAAAAGAAATTCTTAAACAAACACCTTTTAATTTTTTATCTAAAAAAAGGAATTGAAAACTAATGTTTTTATTAATTTTAGAAATAGAGGAAGGGGGAGGGTCAGAGAGAGAGAAATATCAGTGGAAGAGAAACACTGACCAATCAACCGGCTGCCTACTGCATACCCCATATCGGGGAATGAGCCCACAACCCAGGTACATGCCCTAACCAAGAATTGAACTGACGGACCTTTGGTGTATGAGTCCAATGCTTAACTGAACCTCACCAGCTGAGCACATTAAGCAAACATTTAAACTATTCAATTATCCCAAAGATCCTTGAGTAGGAAAATGGTTTAAACAGCCTTCTCAACAACTTTTTAAGATTCTGCTTTTGCCCAGCTGGTGCAGCTCAGTGATTGAGTGTTAACTCATGAACCAAGAGATCACAGTTTGATTCCCAGTTGGGGCACATACCCAGGGTTTTGAGCTCAATCCCCAGTAGGGGGCATGCAGGAGGCAGCCAATCGATGCTTCTCTCTCATCATTGATGTTTCTCTCCCTCTCTCTCTCTCTCTCTCTCTCTCTCTCTCTCTCTCTCTCTTTTTCTCTTGGAAATCAATAAAAACATTTTTTTTTTTTTTAAGATTCTGCTTCTAACAAGAAAGAAAGACCTCATGAACTCAGAGCATGTATTCCTAGAATTACAAATGCTTAAGTTCCTCTTCTTATCCAGTGCCTGGAATATTCTCAATCTTTTTATAGGCCTTTGACTTCTAAAATCTTAATTATGTTCAACATCTTTATTTTCAAACCTTTGTATCCTAAAAGTACACAGATCTACTGAGACTTGAGCAAAGCTAATTTTCTAAGAGTTCTTTCCAGGAAACAAAGGGATGTTTTTATTCTGATAAAAGAGATGACAAAGGAAAGTGCAGGTAAATTGGAATCAGTGGATTCTACATTATAAAATAGTTTTCAATTGCTTTTAGAATGCAATACCGTATAGTCAATCGCTAAATAGTCACTAGGCTCAGCTTACCTTGATATGCAGCATCCGTAGCCTTCCTCTTTACTTCAGCCTCCTCTTCCTCCAATTTCTTTTTCCTAAAGAGAAAATTAAAGGTTAGATTTTAGCCAGCTCTAGCACCTCCACGTTTCACAGAGCCTGACAAGGAAATTATTTGCCTGGCTAGCAGTTTCTGGATGAAAGGGCTAAAAAGGAATCAGTATCAGCAGAATAGGAAATTTTGAGAGTATTGCCTAATTACCAGTTCTTCATCCACACAAACTAAAGCCACTTTTAAGTTAGAACTAAGTTATGTTCTCATACTGTAATGTTCTATCTCATTACTTTCTAGAACTCATTCTGCCCCACCCCCTCCCAATACCAGGCCACTATGCAGCTTTCCCTTTCTAGAATCTCTCCAAGTCTTAAAGGAATGGCAGAAGGAGAAAATAAGCCAGATTATTAGAGGAGAAAAGGGGGTAAAGAGAAAAAAGTATAAGAATAATAACATAATGTAACCCACGTTGCAATGTCATTGCAAAGCTCCTCCAGTCTGCTGTCCATGTGCCCGGCCTGAATTAGTTCTGCATCTCTTTTCAGTCGTCTGTAGGAAGAAAGGGTGGTAGATAGACTTGGGTTTTTTAATCTGCTACTTAAAAAATTCTGACCAGACGGTGTGGTTCTGGGGTTGAGCGTCAATCCATGAACCAGGAGGCCACGGTTTGATTCTCAGTCAGAGCACATGTCCAGGATGTGGGCCCCCAGTGGAGGAAATACAAGAGGTGTCCAATTAATGATTACCTCTTCACTGATGTTTCTCTCTCCCTCCCTCCATCCTTCCCTTTTCCCCTCCCTTCCTCTCTCTGAAATCAAGAAAAATAAAAATAAAATCCTGCCCTAGTTAGTTTGGCTCAGTAGATAGAAACTCAGCCTGCTGACTGAAGTGTCACGGGTTCAATTTCCAGGGTCAAGGGCAACATGCTCAGTTGTGGTCTTGATCCCCAGTTGGGAGCATGCAGGAGGCAGCTGATCAATGATTTTCTCTCATCATTGATGTTTCTCTCTCCATTCATCTTTGAAATCCATAAAAATATATTAAAATGTTAGAAATAAATAAAATCCTGACCAATATTAGAAGTCATTCTCTTTTGTCTCCCCCAATCATTTGGCATTTCTCTGAAAAGTACCTATATTTTTCCTGGGTTTCCTTTATCATTTTCTTTAATTCCTCAACTCGTTCAGCAGTCAGTTTCCGAACAATGACATCTTCAACAGTTTCCACCACTTCTCCCTTTTCACCCCGTTTCCGTCTGTGGAAAATGAAAACATATACACATTTGAATAAGAGAATATCTATTCCCATTCCCACTTGCTTTCTTTGAGCCTTTTCAACCACCATCTAACCACAGATAACTTCTCCAATACTTTTATCACCCAGTAATATAAATAGATATATTAATAAACCAAGACTTCCTCAGTAAACACTCTCAATCCACTAAAGAGATTTAACTTGAGTGCCTGATTTTGTACTTACTTTGGGGTCTCGGTAGTTTCTAGAAGTTCAGAGTACTGAGAAGCACAATGCTATGGAAAAAAAAAGTGCAAGATGAGCAAGCCAAGAAAATTTAAACATACTAAAGTTTAGAGAAGGGAGACATGAGTGTTTCTAGGAGAGCAAATTACTTAGTGTCAAATCAGCTCAAAATAAAAAGATAACCTAATAGCCAATATTTATAGCTATTATCTACTGAGTAGTTACCATATGCAAGGCACTGTGCTAAATGTTTTATAGGTATTACCTCAGTTGAATCTTCAAAACAATCCTGAAGCAACTTTTATCTCTATTTTACAAATGAAAACTGAAGCTCATTGTCCAAAGTTTTCAAGCAGAGTCATATTAAACCCAGATCTATTTAATCCCAAGCTTGGGCTCTTCTGTGTGGTTTTTTGGGGTTTTGTTTTTTTTTTTTTTTTTACTTTTAGATATTTCTTTTGAAGAGGGGCTCTTAACAATTATGCTACACTGACAATAGTAATTTGTAAAATGAGCATACGTAGATAGATAAGCAAACAACAGATAATGAAAAGGTACTCTCCCTCCTCATGGTATAAAAGTCTTGTGATTAAAAGGCAAGGAACCCACTTCACATCTCAGAGACTGCTCTAAAACTTGCTTGGGAACTTACTTTTTGCGAGAACCAGTCTGGAGGGCGGCCAGGTTCTGCAAAGGGCTTGATTGCTCTGCTAACCGATACCCTATAAAATAAGAAAAGCCTTAATACACACCAAACAGAAGAAAAAAAGAAGGGGGGGGGGGCGCAAAAGATGGGGGAAGGCACAGAGAGGAAAAGTACACTGACAGTTCAATGTTTGAAGCACAAACCTTGGGGGGGGGAAAACTGCCACTGGGAGGTATACTGTCAAATGTGACTATGGAAAATAACATTACTTTAAAGTCATTTAGAAGGATTCATTGCTAAAGTTTTCCTAGGTGATGTATTTCCTAGGTGAAGTGAAGGTATTAGAACCTAATAAAGCATCATTTCTGTTCATTTGGGAAAATACTTTTATGTTGATTTTGACTTCTTAGAAAGATCTGCCTTTTGAAAAGCAATTTATAATATAATACAGACCTAAAAATGTTCTTCTGATCCAAAAATACAGCTCTCCTAGTAATGTAATAATAAGAAAATAATGCAACAGCCCTGGCTGGTGTGGCTCAGAGTTAGAGCATCAGTCCTTGCACAGAAGGGTCACAGGTTTGATACCTAGCCAAGGGCAAGTAATCTATGTTGTAGATTCATTACCTTGCCCCCGTTGAGTGTATGTAGGAGGCAACCAATGTGTCTTCCTCATGTCAATGTTTCTCTCTCTCTCTTCCTTCCTTCCACCCTCACTAAAAATCAATGGAGCCCTGGCTGGTTTGGCTCAGTGAGTAGAACGCTGGCCTGCAGACTGAAGGGTTCTAGGTTTGATTCCAATCAAAAGCATGTGCCTGGGTTGCAGACTTGATTCCTGGTTGGGGCATGCAGGAGGCAGCCAATCAATGATTCTCTCTCATCATTGATGTTTCTATCCCTCTCTACCTCTCCCTTCCTCTCTGTAATCAATAAAAAATATTTTTTAAAAATCAATGGAAAAAATATCCTTAGGTGAGGATTAAAAAAAAAAAAAAAACATTAACAAAATAAGCAAGCACCAAGAAGTATAGTGTAAACTTGATCAGAATGGTGAATAGTTAGGTTTTCCTTAATGACTGCAAAAGGATCTTTACCATATGACTCTCTAACTCTATGAAATATTGAACAGTCCATAAATATAACCATGGAATATATGTGGTGATATGAATATAACAATATTAAAAAAGCTGACAATTTTCTGCTATGAAGTAATTATACAACCTTTTAAAAAGTTGCAAGTATAAACATGCAAAAATGAAAAGAGTTGGACCAGAATGAGATTTTTTTTTAAGTATATTAAGATTTTTTTCTGTCCAGGTACTGAATACATGGGCAATCTAGATTGATTATTCTCCATACTTCTCTTTTAAGGTTGAAATATTTCATAACTTTAAAAAGTTTTTAAAATTTGATCCATAATTTATAACTTATACTGAGAAAAGTCCTAAATACACCCAAGATTTAAATGTTCAAAAAAATTTAACCATGAAAGTACTAGAAGAAATCATAGACTATTTTATATTTCAGACTAAAGAAGATCTTTCTATTTATGACACAAAATCCAAGAGCTGTAAAAGAAAATTATTAAATCACATTTTAAAAATATTTTATTTATTTTTATTGATTGATTTTAGAGAGAGGGAGGGAGGGGGCAGAGAGAAACAGAAACACACTGAGAGAGATGGATTTGATTTTCCAATTATTTATGTATTTACTGGACTGACCAGGGATCCACAACCTTGGCATATTGAGACAATGTTCTAACCAATGGAGCTATCTGGTGAGGGCTTAAAAGTTTTAAGGTAAAAATACCACCATAAATAAGTCAGATGGCGCAAAAAGCTGCATCTCACACCTCAAATGATTAATCTCTCCAATACACAAGGAGCTCCCCAAATTAAGAGGATATAATCAAATAGAAAAATCAGTTTATAGATGGAAACAAAATTGGCTCCTTAACACATGAAAATATTCTACCTCACTCATCACAGAATAAAATGCAAATGAAAAAAGGAAAACTATTTTTCACCTTTTATAATACTGTCCAAGATAAAAAACACAATCTATGAACCAGGGTATAGAAAACAGACATTCTGGTATATTATCAAAGGGAGTATAAATTGAAACAATCTCTGAGTAGGGCAATATATTTGTCAAATTTTATAAACTCATATAAACTCTTTGATACAATTATTTTTTTAAGTATATTTTATTGATTTTTTTTTTTTTTTTTTTTTTTTTTTTTACAGAGAGGAAGAGAGAGGTAGAGAGTTAGAAACATTGACGAGAAAGAAAAATTGATCAGCTGCCTCCTGCACACCCTCCACTGGGGATGTGCCCGAAACCAAGGTACATGCCCTTGACCAGAATCAAACCTAAGACCCCTCAATCTGCAAGCCAACACTCTATCCACAGAGCCAAACTGGTTTCGGCTGATCCAATTATTTTACTTTCAGTTTATCTTAGATAGTACTTATACATAACTATGCAAGATTGTATTTGTGTAGGCAAATGTCCATTAAGATAGTACAACTTTATGATATATCCAAAAACAATATCATGTAGCTGTTGTTTTTTTTTTTTAAAAAAGGCAGCAATAAGATAGATCCTGATATACAGATATATAAAGACCTAAAAGATATAATATGCCCAGCTGGTGTGACTCAATGGTTGAGCATCGTCCCATGAACCAGGAGCTCACAGTTCAATTCCAGGTCAGGGCACATGCCCACATTGTGGCCTCCATCCCCAGCAAAGGCATTCAACAGGCAGGCAATCAGTGATTCTCTCTCATCATTAATGTTTCTAGCTCTCCTTCTCCCCTCCTCTTTGAAATCAATAAAAATATATTTAAAAAGGAAAAAGAAAATATATTTTTGTTCATATTTACAAAATTAATGCCTAGAGAAACACACAAGAAACTGCTAACATGAGGGAGAAAGACACTGTACCATTTTGAATTTTGAACCTTGTCCTAGTACTTCCTCAACAAATACCAATTTAAAATTTCAAAGTGTTTTCACGCTATTTTTCTAATAAAATTGTGAGAAAATATACAGATTAGATTGTATTCCAAACCAGTTTCCTTGACGGTTTGTTTAAAAAAATCAGTTCAGTCCTTGCCTGTGTGGTTCAGTGGTCGGAGTGTTGACCTAAGCACCATAGAGTCTTGGGTTCAATTCCCAGACAAGGGCATGTACCTGGGTTGCAGGTTTGATTCCTAGTTCCAGTTGGGGCAAGTGTGGAAGGCAACTATTAATGTGTTTCTGTGGATATTTCTCTGCCCACCCACCCCCTTCCCTTCAACATAGTTTGATTCCCAGTAAGCACAAATGTCTGGGTTGTGGGCTCAATCCCCAGTAGGAGGTATGCAGGAGGCAGTTGATCAATGATTCTCTCTCATCATTGATGTTTCTATCTCTCCCTCTCCCTTCTCTGAAATCAATAAAAACATTTTTTTTAAAAAAGGTGTGAGAGCCAGGACCGGTTTGGCTCAGTGGATAGAGCGTCAGCCTGCGGACTGAAAGGTCCTGGGTTCGATTCCGGTCAAGGACATGTACCTTGGTTGCGGGCACATCCCCGGTAGGGGGTGTGCAAGAGGCAGCTGGTCGGTGTTTCTCTCTCATCGACGTTTCTAACTCTCTGTCCCTCTCAATTCCTCTCTGTGTAAAATCAATAAAGTATATTTAAAAAAAAAAAAAAAAGGTGTGAGATATTCTATGTAGCAGTTGTTCTTGAATCAAAGTAAATGGTAAACCCCAACACAAGATGAACCACACTAAATTGATAAATCTCAGATTTAACTTAAATATAACTCAAGTGAAATATAAATTGAACTTTTTTTTTTTTTTTTTTTTTTGGTCTGTTAGCTTGTTAATCCTAACCTGAGGTCATTTTTCCATTGATTTTGAGAGTGGAAGGGAAGGGGAGAGACAGACATGGATATGAGAGACACACGCCGATTAGTTGACTCCTGATGCATCCTGATCAGGTCTAGAGATCCAACCTGTAAACCAGGTACCCACCCTTGACCGGAATCAAACCGTATGCTTCACTCCAAGGACTAACGCTCTACCTACCGAGCCAAACCAGCTATGGCCCCACTTACATCTTTGAAAAGTTATTTTTAAAATAGATAAAAGTGTCCCTGGCTGGTTTGGCTCAGGGAATGGAGTGTTGGGGCACATCCTCAGGAGAGGGTGTGCAGGAGGCAGTTGATTGATGTTTCTCATCAATGTTTCAAACTATCCCTCTCCCTTCCTCTCTGTAAGAAAATCAATAAAATTTATTTTTAAAAAATAAAAATAATAAAAATAAAAAAATAATATAAAGTGGCAGAAATACTAAAGGTGACCAGTAACTGCTTTTGTAAACTCATCTGAATGGTTAAAGTAGAAGAGGCATACCATGTAAACACAAATGTGTATAGTAAACTATAAGGCTTAAGACAATTAAAATGGCCTTGGATCCTGAGGGAAAGGAGGAGGTAAAAACGTTAAAAATGAAAAAGTGTATGTCCTAGTAGCAAAAAAGTTGGAAACCACAGTCCTATTATTTGATACTTAAAAAGAAATACTGGAGTGCCAAAACAATTCAATGAAAGCAGTGTCTTTAAACAAATACTGGGTACTGGGAGAGTGGATATCTACATGCAAAAGGGTCCCCTGCCTTAGAACATACATAAAATTACCTCAAAATGGACCCAGCATATAATTGTAGAGCTAAAACTATAAAGCTCTTAAAAGAAAGCATAAAATTAAATGGTTTCTTAGCTATGACACCAAAAACACAAACAGAAGAAAAAAAAATACATAAATTGGACACATCAAAATGAAAAACTTTTGAGTAATCAACAATACCAATAAAAAATGTAAGACAATACACACACAAAAAGAAGTATTTGAAAGTTGTTTGACAAGGATTTGTGTCCAGGGTAAAGAACTCTTTAAAGTTAGTAATAAATATAATTAAAGTACCTGAACAGAAATGTCTCCAAAGTAGACATACACATGGCTAATAAGCATATAAAAAGGTATTCAAGATTAGGCATTAGGTATATGCAAATCAAAACCACAATGAGATATCATTACATATTCATAGTACAGCTATAATAAAAAAAGACAAAAAATGTTGAACCCACATTTTTATATATATAGTTCATTATAACCCATATATATAGCCCAGCTGGTGTAGCTCAGTGGTTTAATTGTCGACCCATGAACCAAGAGGTCAGATCCCCAGTGGGGGGCATGCAGGAAGAGTCAATCAGTGATTCTTTCTCACTGATATTTCTCTCTCTCTCTCTCCCTTCCTCTCTGAAATCAATTAAAAAAATAATAATTTTTCAGTTCCTCAAAAGTTAAACATTGACTTAAAACAACACAAATGCTCATCAACTGATGAATGGATAAACAAAATGTGGTATACTCATACAGACCATCATTTAGTCATACAAAGAAAAAGTATAAATGATATAATAAGAACCTTGAAAGTATTATGCTAAGTAAAAAAAATCCAGTCATAAAAGACCACAAATATTTCATTTACATGAAATGTCCAGAATAAACAGAAAGTAAATAATTAGATGAGGTGGAGATTTTACAGTGACTGACAGTTGCACAACTCTGAATATACTAAATTCTGTGAATGCATTGGGTTAATATTATGGCATGTAAATTACCCTATCTAATAAAGAGGGAATATGCTAAATGACACTCACACCATTGCAAATATGGTGGCACCCACAGCCAATAAGGAGAAAAAATGTTATTTGACTGTCCCACCCTCAAAGATGGCAGCCCCAGTGGGATGCCTGCCTCCAGAGTCCCCTAGTCTCCTCAGCCTCCTAGGGCCAGCAGCAGAGGTGTGATGGGGCATCATCTTCCCCTGATGGTAGGGTTGCCTCCCACCCCTGAGGGCTCCTAGATTGAGAGAGGGGGCAGGCTGGGTTCAGAAAACCCCCCTTCAGTGCATGAATTTTCATGCATCAGGCCTCTAGAATCTTAATAAAGTTGTATAAAAGAAACTTAGAGGCCCAGGGCAAGGCCCCTCAGCCTGGCCTGCGCCCTCTCACAATCTGGGACCCCTTGGGAGATGTTGGACTGCTGAGGGATGTAGTAATGCCTGAAGCGGCAGGCAGCGGGGGAGGAGCCCAAGCCAGGCGGGCACCACTCCAGCTCATCCAGCCCCTCTCGGCCTGTGGCTGCAGCTCAGAAACGCTGCCTCCAAGGTGGGAGAGGCTCATGCTGCCACAGTTGCACTCGCCAGCCATGGGCCCAGCTTACTTCGGTCAGCTAAGCAGTACTCCCACTGTGGGAGCACACTTTGGGGGGGGGGAGGGTGTATCTCCTGCATTTAGTGTCTGCCCTCTGGTGGCCAGTGCATGTCATAGCTACCGGTTGCTTAGACTTTTTTATATATATATTAATATATAATATAGGTCTGTCCCCTCAATCCAGCCGCGCCCTCTTGCAATCTGGGACCCCTTGGGGGATGTCCAACAGCTTAGGCCTGCTCCTCAGGAGATCGGGCCTACACCACAGTCAACATCCTTAGAGCTACTGAGGAGGCAGGAGGGACTCCTACCATCACTGCTATTAAGCTTGCAGAGGTGAGCCAGGCTTGTGGCTGAGTGGAGCTCCCTTTGTTAGAGGGCACTGACCACCAGGGGGCAGCTCCTGCATTGAGTGTCTGTCCCTTGGTGTTTGGCGTGTGTCAATGCAACCTGTTGTCCCCCACTTAGGATCAATTTGCATATTACCCTTTATTATATAGGAAGATACTGCTTATAGGTCAGTATGACTAATTACAGGAATCCAGTAATGTAAAAAAAAAAAAAAATTTTTTTTTTAAATCAACTATTTTGAAGACCCAAGAAACCAGACATCTGAAATACCTTACCAATTTTGATCCCCACTCCGCATGACAGAAGATGCTAAACACAGCTTCTCTCGGATGGACCATGGTTCTGTGGGGCCACTACTCAACAGCTTGTGTTCTGAAAGGAGAGGAGGTTTAGAAGCAACCCCTGAGGCACCAGTTCTTGGCCCCAAAGGGAGGTCTAAAAGCCTAATATAAAACATCCCGACTTGTAAGGACAAAGTGAGCTCCCTCAGCAAATCTTAATTTTCACCTCGCTAGTAAAATATCACCACTGGATGGGTGGTACCTATTCATTGCGTGCAAATTGCAATGAGTATCTGGTAAAATATTTAATTTCCTCATGACTACCCTGCTTTATAAAAATATTCTTAAAAAAAAAAAAACAACGTCAGATTTAAGATAAAGCAGTTTTCCCAAAAGGCCGTTTTAATAATACATATTTTATCCCAATGTGAACTCCAGGACTTTATTTCATTTCCCAGGATTTTATTTCATTCCCCCTCACTGCACCGCCTCCTCCCAAGCATGAACTTGTTTACTGTTTTCAGACTCTCCCCGCCCCCTTGAGTTGTCAGGCCTAAAAGATCTTGTCAGTCCACAAAACAGAGGAAAATGGCTGAGATGCAAGAGACGCGGTTTCCCTGGCGGCAGAAAATTTCCCATTTCTCTGTGGCAGACAGCAGGAGCCCACAAAGGTTGGTCCGAGTGTGAACGGCTCTTTGAGGTGCCGGCCACTCGGTACGGCTCACAACACGTCTTGGTCTGCACGCCGCGTCTCTAGAGCAGCTTTACACCCTCACTCCCCACAGTTCCCAAACGTACAAGGATTTGCTGAGCTGCTGCTTTCAAACCTCCGCGGCTGCCCTAAGACACAAGACCCCTACTCTTTTGAACCCCCAAATAATGGCCTTTCCACGACGCTGTCGAGCGAAAGTCTCTGACGACTCTGGGCTCTCAGGAACATCATGGGCTTCCCCGAGCGCGTGACGGAAACCAGGGGCCCGGCCGCGGCTCTACAAAAGCCTTCCCCGCAAAACAGCGCCGATACTTACTGCCCGTTCCGGTCGCCATCTTGGCCCGAAGTCTTCGGCCCCCGAGGGAAGACGGCTTCGTAGAGGTCCGAGACGTGGGGGAGTCTGGGAAATAGTTTGGGCGTTTGTTCGTGTGTCTCCTGGGAAATGTAGTCTCCCACCCCGAGACGAACAAGCGTCTTCAACCAGCTCTCCTTGGCGCTCCTGAGAAGGAACGGGCTAAAGGACCAAGGATGAGGGCTGAAACCTCAGGACTTCCTTTAGCGTTCGTGGGAAATAAATGCTTAGGGTCCAAGAAAAAAAAAAAAGTATTAAGCGGGAAGAATTCCACGGGGCTCAACTCCAAACTCCGACAGTTGGAAACCCGGATGCACATCAGCAAGGAAAGGTCAACCCGGAACCAATCTGTTCCCAGTTGTACCCGCCCCCTTTCCTTGCGCTCATTGGTAGGTGAAGGCCTCTCTGTCTGATTGGCGGACGAAGGCAGCGCGTAATTTAAAACATTGTATCAGTAACAAAGGCGCACCTCGTGGGCGGAGTTTTGTTCTATAAAGGCCAAAGCCCGGGTTCGGCGGCCGGGTGTGAGTGGGCCGGTACCAGACGGGGAACGGTGTCGCTCGCGTCTTCGGGTGAGTATGAGGTTGTGCTGGAGTCCAGCTGGGGGACCGGCTTTTTCCCTCGCAGGACAGGATTGTCAGAAAGCGAAGCTGCCTGCCATCACTTTTTTCTTAATTCCTCTGTCCTCACGGTGGGCCTGGGGGCGAGGTTGGAGAAGGTGCTACTGACGCCACCCTCACATCACCCCTGGGCGAGGCACCTTACGTGGAGCGTGACCTTCTGCTTTTTGAACCAGGTATCTGTTCATTCCAGTAGGTGGTCTTAAACTATTAAATGATTAACTCCTATCATCCCCTTCCTGAGAGTGGAAGGGAAAGGAGAGTAGGGATTCAGGAGGCGATGCCAACGTGTCCTGGGGTAAGGGAATTGTTTGTTTTTTACCTAGAATTTGCAACCCTTTCTGTCCTTAAGATTCTTCTCCTTACCCACTTTTTTTAGACCTAAGTTGCCCCAGCTATGTCCCGAGGGATCCTTTCTCCGCCAGCCGGCTTGCTCTCGGATGAAGATGTCGTACTGTCCCCCATGTTTGAGTCCACGCTTGCAGATTTGAGGTCTGTGGTTCGTAAGGACCTGCTGTCAGACTGCTCTGTCATCTCCACCTCCTTGGAGGACAAGCAGCAGGTAAAAGAGTTGGAGAGTGGTAGGAGCAGAAAGTGATATCCCCAGCCTACTCTACTGAGTAGTTATAGTTAGTATGAGGTCAAAGACCAGCATTCCTCAGGGTCTGAGAGTTAGTGACTAGAAAAAAAATATAGAACTATTGTTTGTATTGCATTTAATGATATACCCTCAAGTGCATATCATCAGTTAATACCTTGAGGGAAAGATAATAGTTATCTTTCCACCAAGAGGCCCAGAGGCCTTGAAGAATTTGCACAAGGTCAAACTGCTATTAAATAGGTGGAATGTACATTCAGGTCTTAATGCCAACCATAGCTTCCATTTATGAAGCCTTTGTACTTGGCTGGAGTTTCTCGTTGACATTTTTTTTTTGTTTGGTTGGTTTTGGTAGCCATATATATAACGACCAATATTTATGTACAAAACATACACCCAAATTGGGGACAGGCTGGTTCTTAACACGTAGTCCCTGATTTGTCAGAATGTCATAAAGCCTTAAAATTTGATGCAGAACTTTTATGTCAGTTGCACTGGTATATTATTCAGCTAAAACAATTCAGAGTTTGCATCAAGATCTAGAAGGCGTTCATGAATCCAAAACAGGTGGGAAACCAATGGAGCAGTTAAGGCTTTTGATTTAGGTCTCCTGAGGGGAAGCAGAATATTGCCAGGACTTGTCACAGCCTTCACCCTTCTTCCAGAGGAGTTCAGGCTGGGCATCAGGCCTGCCCGTGATTCCCTTCTCTCTATTCCTGGGGCCCTACAAGGCCAAGTTTATCTCCAGAAATCTAGGTGGGTTCTCATTGACATTTGAGACCTGATAATTCTTCGTTGTATGGGTATGTCCTGTGCATTGCAAGATGCTTAGGCAGCATTCCTGGCCTCTACCCACTTGTGACAACCTAGAACCTGTCCTGACACTGCTAAATGTTCTTTGGGAGGGAAATGCCCCCGGTTGAGAACAACTCTGCTCATAAGTCTCTGTTAGAGAAAGGTTTATCAAAGCGGGAGCCTCAATAATGCCTCTTAGAGTTCCTGGGCCATAATAGGCAGATCTCTTAAATATTGGTTGAAAGAATGAAGTGGGTACTATATTATTAACCCCATTCTATATGAGGAAAGTGAGGCAAAGAGAATTTAAAGAAGTTTTTCAAGGTCTTATAGTTACTAAAGGATGAAATTGGACCTCAAATTCAGGTGTGTCTGCCTCCAAGGTGCTTAACTACTGTGCTTTACTATAATATGTAGTCAACCAGTTCTAACTCTTGGTGTGGTAAGCCAGGATTATAGGATACTGAAGAGACAGTAGGAAAGGGATAAAGTACTAAAGAAATCTATGTAAGTTGGAATGATTATGGAACCAAAGAGTAGCTATAGCTACAGAGAGACACTTGAGGTAGAAGGAGGGTAGTGTTAGCATTATTTTCAGGAACTGTGTTATGCTTGCCCATCTGCTCAGAGATAATGGCTGAGATTAACCTGTAGTTCTGGTCTGGAATTCTGCCACAGGTTCCATCTGAGGATAGTACAGAGAAGGTGAAAGTATATCTGAGGGTCAGGCCCTTGTTACCTTCAGAGCTGGAACGGCAGGAAGATCAGGTGAGTTTCTGAGGGAGGATTCAAGGTGGAATGATACAGTACAGAAGAGTTCTCAGGAATGCTTCCTTCTGTGTCAACTGTGTCTTCCCCTTTCTTAGGATTGTGTCCGTATTGAGAATGCGGAGACCCTTGTGCTACAGGCACCCAAAGACTCCTTTGCCCAGAAGAGTAATGAACGGGGAATTGGCCAAGCCACCCACAGGTTCACCTTTTCCCAGGTATGAAGGTACTGGTCTGTGAACATGGGACCAACATGTAAGGGCAACCTTAGTCCCTCTTTAGAAGGAAAGCTTTTTACTTGCTTGTGAATTTCTTATAGAGGGTGGGGGAAAGTACCTTTATAGTTGTGTGTAAAATAGAGTTTATTCTTGTATTATTAATTATATTAATTATTGTATAATTTTCTATGTTAACTGTAGACCTACTTTTGTCCTTCCCTGTATATGCATGTCTACAATTTTAGGTGCCCTTGTTATGAGCTAGCCAGTGTGTCAAGTACTTTATGTGCATTAATTCCTAACAACTCTATTATAATTATCATATTGTCCCTATTTTCCTGACAAGGATACTGTGGCTCAGTGAAGGTTATGTTGCTGAAGCTAGTCAGTGGTAGGGTTAGGTCTTGAATCCACCACAGGTTCCATCTGAGGATAGCACAGATGCTTGTGACCATTATGTTGCCCTGTTGTATACGCAGCATTGGACTTCGTGGATAGCATACCTTAGGTCAGTGGTTGGCAAACTCATTAATCAACAGAGCCAAATATCAACACTACAACGATTGAAATTTCTTTTGAGAGCCAAATTTTTTAAACTTAAACTTCTTCTAACGCCACTTCTTCAAAGTAGACTCACCCAGGCCGTGGTATTTTGTGGAAGAGCCACACTGAAGGGGCCAAAGAGCTGCATGTGGCTCTCGACGACCACAGCCTTAGGTATATGTTAATCTGGATGAAAGATGGACTGGCAGAGAGTAGTTGAGTCCTCAGTGTGTGGGGAGCAGCTGGCAGCCCTGCAGGAAGAAGTGGCTTGAGCATTGTCTAGGGCCAGCCACCCAGGAAGAGATGCATCTGCTAGCTCTGTGCAGGAGGCAAATGGGAGATAAAAGGTCTCTGAGAAACTGAATCTGTCTCTAGATCTTTGGACCAGAAGTAGGGCAAGCATCCTTCTTCAACCTGACTGTGAAGGAGATGGTAAAAGACGTACTCAAAGGACAGAACTGGCTTATCTATGCATATGGAGTCACCAACTCAGGGAAAACCCACACGATTCAAGGTGAGTAGTAGGCCTCACAGGATTGCTGATTGCCCTATAATGGTATTGTCATTGCTTTTGGATGCTGTCCATTGGAGGAGAAAGGCACTTGCCTCAGCTACTCATCTTTTACATTCCTCTAGGTACCATCAAAGATGGAGGGATCCTGCCCCGGTCCCTGGTTCTGATCTTCAATAGCCTCCAAGGCCAACTTCATCCCACACCTGATCTGAAGCCGTTGCTCTGTAATGAGGTAATCTGGCTTGACAGCAAGCAGATCCGACAGGAGGAAATGAAGAAACTGGCCCTGCTAACTGGAGGCCTCCAAGAGGTGAAGTGTTATTATCTACAGAGGTGGGGATAAGGGGACAAATCTCTGGAAAGTTTCATACTTATTTTCTCCCTGGGGCTCTCCAGGAGGAACTGTCTACCTCCTTGAAGAAGAGCGTCTACATTGAAAATCGAATAGGTACCAGCGCCAGCTTTGACAGTGGCATTGCTGGGCTCTCCTCCACCAGTCAGTTTACTAGCAGTAGCCAGCTAGATGGTAAGTAACATGACTGGGCTCAGTGCCAAGTCACAGTAAGAACCCACTCCCTGCTCTCAACAACTGCCAGGAGTAGAGATCAGAGATTGCAACCTGAGCTCTGCCTCCTGAGAACCCTGCAAGCCAAAGGGGAGATGGACTGCTTTAAGATTGATGGTACATTTGCTTCTTCCCCAGAAACAAGTAACCGATGGGCACAGCCAGACAGTGCCCCTATAAGTGTACCTGCAGACATTCGCTTCTCCATCTGGATCTCCTTCTTTGAGATCTACAATGAACTGCTTTATGATCTGTTAGAACCACCTAACCAACAGCGCAAGAGGCAGATTCTGCGGCTATATGAGGATCAGAATGGCAATCCCTACGTGAAAGGTATGGGAAAGCAGAGAGGCTGATATGAACCCTGGACAGGACTTGGACAGAGACTAAGAAAAGAGTTAGGTACCCCCATCTTATGTATGCCCTTCTCTTGCCCTCAGATCTCAATTGGATTCACGTTCAGGATGCTGAGGAGGCCTTGAGACTCCTGAAAGTGGGTCGTAAAAACCAGAGCTTTGCCAGCACGCACCTGAACCAGAACTCCAGCCGTAGGTTAGTGGGCTGTGAGAGCCAGCCTTTGTTCTAGGAAATATTAATCCTCCAGTTGGTCATGGAAGATGTGTAATGACCTTTTTCTTTTTCTTAACTTCTAGTCACAGCATCTTCTCCATTCGGATCCTGCACCTTCAAGGGGAAGGGGACATTGTCCCCAAGATCAGCGAGTAAGATTTTCCATTTAGAAATTTGGACTTCTGGGCTATAAATGGTGGTGGGGGAGGGGGCTCAGAGGATTACTCTGATAGATTCTTGTTCTCCTTCCTTAGGCAGTGAGATTCTTGGAGGTTCTTCCTCTCCTCACAAGTATAGGAAGGGCTGGAAGGTTCATAACATATTGGTTCTTATGTCAGATCCTGTCCTTTCAAGGTTGTCATTCTGTGATCTGGCTGGCACAGAACGCTGCAAAGATCAGAAGAGTGGTGAGCGGCTAAAGGAAGCAGGAAACATTAACACTTCTCTGCACACCCTGGGCCGCTGTATTGCTGTCCTGCGCCAAAACCAGCAGAACAGGTGAGATTTTGACTGCAAGCCATGGGCTTAATGGTCTGGAACTCTGCAGTTTACTAAGGAACTTTCTGGTCACCACTAGGGATCGTGCTAGAATACTTCAAGCTGGAGTTCTGCTCACAGCTCTACTCTTCTGATTCCCTGCCAGGTCAAAGCAGAACCTGATTCCCTTCCGCGACAGCAAGTTGACTCGAGTGTTTCAAGGCTTCTTCACAGGCCGAGGCCGCTCCTGCATGATTGTCAATGTGAATCCCTGTGCATCTACTTATGATGAGACCCTTCACGTGGCCAAGTTCTCAGCCATTGCCAGCCAGGTGAGAAGTTGGTACCTCTGGAATGGTACCTTCATTTAAGAAAGCTACTAAGGACTAGTCCTGGATTCAATTGAGATATCTTCCCCCTACTAGCTTGTGCATGCTCCACCTGTACAACTGGGACTCCCATCGCTACATTCATTCATCAAGCAACACAGTCTGCAGGCATCCTCCAGCTTAGAGATAGAAACTAAGACAGACCCAGGCCTTGATGATGACATTGAAAGTGAAGCTGATATCTCCATGTATAGCAAGGAGGTGAGAATACAAGAAAATTTTGTAGCAGCTTAATGGCTGCACATTTCCTATGCTGCCTTCCAGGTGGGCCTGGACCTTTTAGAAGCATGGCCGCCTGATTACCTCTGACCTGTGTCCCTTCTAGGACCTCCTTCAGGTGGTGGAAGCCATGAAAGCACTGCTTTTGAAAGAACGGCAGGAAAAGTTGCAGCTGGAGATGCAACTCCGTGATGAAATATGCAATGAGATGGTGAAGCAGATGCAACAGCGTGAACAGTGGTGCAGGTACTGGCTGAGTGGCCCATCTTTGTCTGACACCTGGATCAGAGGGTGGGAAGTAGGGGCTAGAATGGAATTGTGCCTCAAGATCTGTCTTCATCCTTTAAAATTCTTCAAATTGGTCATAGCTGGACGTTAAACTAACTTCATGGATATTAAATTCATTTTGGTTTTATAATTTTGGGGGAATTTATTGAAGAACCAGTTCAGACTCCCATGTGGGGAAGAGGAAAGAATCTCACAGCACAGTCTCCCACATGGGGAGGGGGAAAATCTGTCCTCCATGCTCACTCCTCAGAATCTTCACTCACTTCTGTTTTCTCCTCTGACAGTGAACATTTGGACACCCAAAAGGAACTATTAGAGGAAACATATGAAGAGAAATTAAAGATCCTCAAGGAGTCACTGACAAGTTTTTACCAAGAGGAGCTTCAGGTGAGTTGCCCTGAACTAGCCCCAACTGGCTAATCAGATTCCCATAACTACTTGCTTAAGGTTAACAGATTTTGTAAACTCTGGTAGAGGCGGGAATACGTAACTCACTTTTCTGTAGTACCCTTAGTACTTTGTGTGTGCCAGTCTGTTTGGCAAATTGATTAAAGGTCTGGTTGGCCAGAAAAGGTATATGTGCTAACCAAAAAGCTTATGTATCAGGGAAGATTTGGTTCATTATGCAGTCATCTGTTTCTGCAGTGTTTGACTGTGGATGGAATTGTGCCTTCTCCTTCCCTCTTAGGAGCGGGATGAGAAGATTGAAGAGCTAGAAGCTCAAGTGCAGGAAGCCAGACAACCGCCAAGAGCTCATCAACAATCAGGGTCTGAATTGTCCGTAAGACGGTCACAAAGGCTGGCTGCTGCTTCTCACTCCACCCAGCAGCTCCAAGAGGTTACAGCCAAACTGGACCAGTGCAAAGCAGAGCTCAACTCGACCACTGAGGGTGAGGAAGGAGAGGGCAGTGCCTCAAGGCAGAGCTATTCTCCAAACTTAGACCTTCTGGCACTAGCTCCAACAATAATTTCCTTATTTTGGCGCTACATCCCCAGACCTTTCGCTCTAGGATACACAAAGGCTCCCTTTTTATTATATTTGCTGCAACTGTTGTTAACTCAGAGATAAGTCCAAGGTTAGAAAGCCTGCATATTAATGTTTCTTGTTTCTTCCCTCAGAGCTACGGAAGTATCAGAAAATGTTAGAACCACCACCCTCAGCCAAGCTCTTCACCACTGATGTGGACAAGAAGTTAGAGGAGGGCCAGAAGGTGATTACCTTTCTCTGTTACCAGAACTTTTACCTAAGCCCAGCCAGCGTGGCTCAGTTGTTGAGCATCTACCTATGAACTAGGAGATCACAGTTCAATTACCAGTCAGGGCACATGTCCGGGGTGTGGGCTCGATCCCTAGTGTGGGACGTGCTAGAGGCAGCCATTCAATGATTCTCATCATTGATGTTTCTTTCTCCCTCTCCCTTCCTTTCTGAAATCAGTAAAAATGTTTTTGGGTTTTCTTTTTAAATCAATCTCTCTAAGCCAGAGAGATTTAAAAATCAAACTTTTACTTAAGGCAATGTCTAACACTGTATCCCTGGTTCATGTAAGAATAAGTTTTCTGTGCACTGTCTTGGAGGCTGGCTACTTTATTCAGCTGATCAGCCTTGTATTTTACTTCTCTTCAAATGGCTATCTGACTCCTCCAGATCATTATCCTGGTTGAACTTGGCCACAATTTATTACTCCTCTTTCTTTTTCAGAATATAAGGTTGCTACGGACAGAGCTTCAGAAACTTGGTGAATCTCTCCAGTCAGCAGAAAGAGCCTGTTGCCATAGCACTGGGGCAGGAAAACTTCGCCAAGCCTTGTCTACATGTGATGACATCTTAATCAAACAGGTTAGGACAGCCTAACTATCCCCTTCTCTCTCATCAGCCCACACCAGGGTTATGTGAAAAGGTGAATGAGGAGTAGAAGAGAAAGGTCAAGATTTTAAGTATAAGGCCCTGTGCTAATTTATAGGCATTTTCTCTGTTGTAACAATACTAGGGAGGTAGTTAATATCACATTTCATCCAAGATGCTTAGATTGTAAGAAACCATTTTATGCACAGACCTGAAATCCTCGACAAAACACTAACAATTAAGTTCTGAAATTAAAGAGTTGCAGTTGTTAATAGCAGTGGATGGCAGGTATTACCTTGCCCTTCTTATTCTCTCAGACACCAGATATGATTTCTATGACTTTACTGATCTTCCTTAGGATCATACCCTGGCTGAGCTGCAGAATAACATGATGTTGGTAAAAATGGACCTTCGGAAGAAGGCGGCATGCATTGCGGAGCAGTACCATACTGTGCTAAAACTCCAAGGCCAGGCTTCTACCAAAAAGCGCGTTGGTGTCAACCAGGAAAACCAGCAACCAAACCAAGAGCCCCCAGGGAAGAAACCATTTCTTCGAAATTTTCTTCATCGAACACCCACCTGCCAAAGCTCAACCGACTGCAGCCCTTATGCTCGGATCCTGCGCTCACGGCATACCCCTTTACTCAAGTCTGGGCCATTTGGCAAAAAATACTGAGGTTGTGGGGAAGAAGAGAGCAATCCTGTCCTGAGGTGGGTCAGCTGCTCAGCTTAAGAAATGTGTCTTTTAAACTTCACCATATATATAAACCTTGAACTTTATGCAAAATGTAATATTCATACACTAGTTGTTTGATTTTTTGTAATATAGTCACCTATGTAATCTCATGCTTTTTTACTTATGTTTTTTTTTATTCAGCACAAAAAAGAAAGCTATATTAAAGATATTGTTCACATTTTTTTAATCTGAATCCCAAATTTAACAAAACCATTCAAATTATAAAAGGAAAGAAAAATTTAAAATTATCATTCAGGCCTATGGAAACCCTGTACAGGAATGTTGCTAGACATCTAAGAAAGCTTAATAAGAAATGAATTCAAGGGACATTATATAGTCTAAACCTTCTTTACTATAAAATGAAGTATCATACATTAGGTGAATAGGTAACAAACTTGTTTTGGAAACATGGACATAGGAAGGCTGGGTCCTGAGCTCAGAATAATTCGTGTCTCTACTATACAAATTCATTGCAGCATACATGACCATTGCATATTCCTCCTACTAAATATGCATGCACAGGCCTAACACCCTTTAAGAGCACACTAACAATGATTCCCTTTACCTTGACTAGCCTGAAAAAAAGACAATTACATCAAAAATATTAAAACAGACCAGCTTGAAATGAGTTTATTCTTGTCTGTAGTTACAAAAAGTTATCTCCAAATGGCCATGAGATTATCTGTGATCCTGTCTCCTTACTTTGCTTTTGGGGGAGGATATAGATAACTAGACATCTTTTGCTCTTAGAAGGGGCCTTCATGCTCCGTGAGATTATGTTTGTCCCTTCTATTCAACTCTAGTAAGATACCTCGAATTTGAAATATTCTAGGATACTCTTTAAAACAAATGTACAGGCAGTCTTTGGGCTACATCAGACACGACGTACAACGTTCATGGTTTTGTCACCATCTCTCATTTATTAAGAAGAAAAAAAAAAGTTCGTCATTTCTACATATGTGCTTTGTTTTTTATTATTTATTTACCACAAGTAAAGGTCAGGAATTGTTATCCTTCTCTGTCACTTCATTACTGGTATGTGCTCCATGTGAGTGACATAGGTGCCTATGCAGTAGGTGGATTCAGACTGATGATAAAAATCATGCTGTAGGACAGACAGATCTCCGACGTAACCCAAGGACCTACTGTATAGTTTTACTCCATTTAAACCTAATCTCTTGACAGAACAGTCATGCTCAGCAAATCCAAGAATACGATCATGTCTATCCAGCGCCCTAACCTTGCTAGGGTATCCAGTGCCCCTACTGTCAGCAGAGGATAGAATCACAAACTTTTCTCCTTTCCTCATTTCTCAGGAAACCACTCCCAGCAGCATTAAAACGGTGCCTGTAGCCTTGCCTGTGCTAAAGTGCTAGTACAAGGATGTTTGGAGGTATGGTGGGGGGAATCTGGGAAGAAGGCCAGACTCTGTAGCTACTCAGAACATAAGGAAGAAGTGCTTCTAACTGGCAAGACGGTGTCTGTTTCCTGCCAGGATTCTTCTGTCATTCTACTCTGAAAGTGATCCTATAAACTCTCCCCAAGGAGCTGTTTCCATCTGTACACACAAAAAGAGCTAAGGTCCTTTGAAGAACAGACATGGCGACTTTTTACATGGGGGTAAGGCTTAACATCAGTCTGGCAATGTGCTAGTCAACTATGGTGTGACTGAAGACAGGTTGAGTGGAGAAACTCTGCGTGTAGGAGTATTGTTAGCAGACAGTGATGCCGGTAGGAAAAAGGGTGCAGGCATCTCAGTGGAAGGAGTCTCTCCTTGGTTCCGAAGCTGCAAGATTTGCCGGAGCAAGGCCTTACCTTCTTCCCGGGTCTGAAACAAAGTCAGGCATCTATTTCAAAATATGTTCAAGGATGTTCTCAAAAACAGGTTCTAAAATACTCATGTTTAAGTTTCACAAATCAAGATAGCCTTTTCACTTACCTTATTATCCACTTTCTACTCCCAAATCATGGTAAAGATTATATGTTTGACCCCAAATCCAAACTCAATAACTGATACTCACATCATTGAATGCACAACACTTCTGGGCACAAGTTGAAGCTTCATCCCACAGCTTGCACTTAAAATAGTATTGGGCCAGATAGCGGAAAGCTGTGCTCTCCTCCAAGTGTTCCACTATTTCCTAGATAAGGAAAGCAGAGATGACTAAGGTGATAATAAATAAAATCAGCAACCCAGTCTTCATGTCCAGGACACATACCCCACAAGTATAGATATCTTGGATATATTTGATGTAACATTGAGCAGCCTGTTCTGACTCAGTCAACTGTTCATGAAGCCTACAAAAGAAATTGGTCTTTAAGTACAAATCAGATCTCAAAGCTAAATAATGATAAATAGTAAAAGCACATTATTAAAACCAAAAAAAAAATGACAACACAAAGACAATTACAAATTTTTACATAAATAGCACACTGGATCCAGAATAGTATTAGTGTCAGAAGCAAGGTTATTTTTATCCAATTTAGTATCATTATTCTGCTACTGGTAATGGAGGGAAAGTTAGCAAATACATAAGCTGAGTAACACACTTTTGCAGAAACTTTGTTAATATCCTGAGATTTTAAAAAAGATAATTCAGATTTTTTTCTAATAAGCCAGAAAAGAACTGGCATGAATAAAATAAAATTGTATTTAAGAAACTCTTTGCCTAGTTCTTATTAGGAGAGCAGTACTTTGTTTTCCTAGACTGCTGACATAAAATTTTCATTTCATTTCTTTCAATTTATTCTTGGTCCCTTGCCTAATAGGAAAGCAATTCCCACTTTAAAGAGAAGTGTTAGTCTCTCAAGTCAAATGGCAAAATTCTTAGATCACTATTCATACACCCTGCTACATCCCCATATTCATGTAGAATGATGGATAAAAGGCTCACCCACCATACCAGAGGAGCCAACAGAAATATCAATAGCATTTTATTACTCTCACTCACTTTGCAAGTTTCACCAGAGCCATTTTCTCCACATCTCCCACGGCGTAAGCTCTCCAGTAACACTGTCAAAAAAATAAACTTGTCACTCTGACCATTGCTCAGGTGCCATGACTAATCACACAAAGGCTCAAGTCCTGCAAGCCTCCCAGAACTTCGGATTTGCAAGATGCAGGCATTTACTAAATCATAGGTCCAGGCTACATAATGACATTTCCACAGATAATGTCACCCAAGCTTTGCTTTTTAGCCTATTATGTATTCTGACTTCCACATGTAGAGATACCAGAATGAAGAAAAGTTAGAGAGCACAGATAGCCCCACCCTTCATCCAAGCAGCAGATTCCCACTCAATTCTCAAGAACTCAATCTCATACCTTTTTGGCTTCCACAAGTTGATTGAGTTTCTCATAACATTCTCCTAAAGCAACCAGCATACGAGAATCATTGGGCCTGAGACAAAATAGTAATAGTGTGAAAAAGTCTTATAGATAACTAAATTCCACCACCACCACTGTAGTGATCCCCCCTTATTCGAGGTTTCACTTTCCACAGTCAACTGCAGTCTGAAAATATCACATGGAAAATTCCAGAAATAAACAGTTCTTAAGTTTTAAATTGCACACCATTCTGAGTAGCATGATGAAATCTCACACCATCTTGCTCCTTCCCATCCAGGACATGAATGATCCCTTTGGCCAGTATATCCACACTCTATATACTACCCACTAGTTAGTCACTCAGTGGCCATCAAAAGAGAAAGAAGTGTCAGCACTCCCCAAAACAAACACATTGTCAAGTGGCCAGACTTACCGAAGCTGATGGGCCCGTCTATAATAATAAAGGCAATAAAATGGCATCTTAAGGATTTCATAGGTCTGCCCGAGGCCATACCAGGCTCTGTAGTCCCGCTTATTAACCTCAATGGCATGTCTAAGAAATGGAAGAGAGACTGGTAAGACAGCAGAATCAAAGTTAGCAAGTTGCAGGCTCAGAAAAGGCTCCTAACATCACAGCAATCTGCTCTACCAAACCCCACAACTAGGAGCTCACCTGTAAGCCTGAATAGCAGCAGATGTGTTCTTCATTTCCATGTACTCATGTCCCATTAGTGTCCAGGCCCCAAGATACCGAGGATTCAATTTCAAAGCTCTTTGGAAATATAAGGCTGCTTTCTCATGCTGAGAACGCAAACTATAATAATTGCCTGATTGAAAAACAAAAAATATGAATAATTAGAAAGGTAAAAATAGAAGTTTACGGCCTAGCCTGTTTTGTTCAGTGGATAGAGCATCAGAACTAAAGGTTCATGGGTTCGATTCTGGATCCCTGGCCCAGTCAAGTCCACTGGGGGAAGCAACCAATCAATGTGCTTTTCTCACGTCGATCTTTGTCTTTCACATCTCTCTGTCTTTCCCCCTCCCTTCCACTCTCTCTAAAAATCAAAAGAAAAACATCCTCAGGTGAGGATTAACAAAAAATTAAATAAAAAATAAAAGTCCACTAAAATAAGCATCATTCCACATGAAACCATAACTCCTTCCCCCAAATCCCTTGCAGACAGCCGAACTGTACATAAGAGAAATATCATTGCTCCCTAGGGAAATATATATATCAAATAAATATATATAGAATATATATATATATATATATCATTTATCACACATTCTGGTTTTAAAAGTGTTCCCTAACATTGCAAGTTTTTCTTCATTTTATTTTATCTTATATAGCAATTATACATATATTTTGTTAAAGGGTAAGACATTTTTAAAGTAAGCTTTATATTTTGGTTTTCCAACTATATTGCTAGGGCACCTCAGGGGTGAAAAAGGTAGAGCTCTGAGCTCTGCTCTTCCTCAGGAATCAAGCAGTTATATTATCGCTAGAGGCCCAGTGCATGAAATTCGTTCACAGGATAGGGGGAGGTCCCCCTCAGCCCAGCCTGCACCCTCTCCAATCCAGGAACCCTTGGGGGATGTCCAACTGCTGGTTTAGGCTCGATCCCAGAGATTGGGCCTAAACCTGCAGTCAGTCATACCTCTCACAATCCTGGACTGCTGGCTCCTAATCACTTACCTGCCTGCCTTCCTGATTGCCCCCAACTGCCCCCACTGCCGACCTGGTTGCCCCTCACAGCCCCCCCATTAGCCTGGTCACCCAATGCAGCCTGCTGTTCAATCATTTGGTCGTCCCTTACTAATCCCCCCTTGCCAGCCTGGTTGCTCCATGCAGC